TTGTGTGGACAAAACACTTCTAAGACCTAAGGAAACTGTGACCTCGTTTTGCAAATGTAGGGTGTGGCAGACATGAGCAGGTCACAAAACTTTCCGCTTCCTCTTTGGGATGTGGCTTCACTAGGTCCTCCAGCCTTGGTTGCAGTTAGGTGAAGGTATGTTCTGGTCAGTGACATGATGAAAGCAACGTGTGCCACATGTTCCAGCACTTCCCATGCACAATCCTCCACATCCTTTCCCATTCTGCAGCAGCCTTGAAGAGGCTGGAGCTCAAATACACAAGGAAGCCAAATTCTGCTTGGAGGAAAAGCTGCTTTTCCTATCTGAAGGATTGCCATGGTTTCACTAACATAAGACAAAGCTTTAGGCATCAAAATCACAACGGGCAGAGCTAGAAACCATCACAACATTCCTGACATAAATGTCTTGCTTTGGCCTAATGAGTTCCTGAGGCAAGTGTACATGGTAAGTATTAATAAAACAAAGCTCAGCTATGTAACTGGCTGAAAGAAACAGTCTTTCAATTCACTTGGAGCTGCCTTTGATTCCTAATTACTTTCAATAATTTTTTTAGATTTAATCTAACAAAACAAAAAATTCTTCAAGGGTGTGTGTGTGTGTATATACATCTTAAGTAGTATTTGAGGGGCAGTGTGCCATTTTAAAACTAAATAGCTGAAGAATCCTTAGAAAATATTTTGGAGAGGATATGGAGAAATAGGAACACTTTTACACTGTTGGTGGGAGCGTAAATTAGTTCAACCGTTGTGGAAGACAGTGTGGCGATTCCTTAAGGACCTCGAAATAGAAATTCCATTTGACCCAGCAATCCCATTACTGGGTACAAATCCAAAGGATTATAAATCGTTCTATTATAAAGACACATGCACACATATGTTCACTGCGGCACTGTTTATAATAGCAAAGACCTGGAACCAACCCAAATGCCCATAGATGATAGACTGGACAAGGAAAATGTGGCACATATACACTACGGAATACTATGCAGCCATAAAAAACGATGAGTTCGTGTCCTTTGTAGGGACATGGATGAATCTGGAAACCATCATTCTCAGCAAACTGACACAAGAACAGAAAATCAAACACCACATGTTCTCACTCATAGGTGGGTGTTGAACAATGAGAACACATGAACACAGGAAGGGGAGCATCACACACTAGGGTCTGTTGGGGGGAGTGGGGAGGTTGGGGAGGGATAATGTGGGGAGAAATGCCAGATATAGGTGACGGGGGGAGGGGATGGAGGCAACAAACCACTTTGCCATGTATGTACCTATGCAACAATCCTGCATGATCTGCACATGTACCCCAGAACCTAAAGTATAATAAAAAAAATTTATGATCTCAAATACTTAATAAATTTCAATAAAATTTACTACAGGACTAGTACTTAAAGGAGACATTTTTAATGAAGGTTGCAATCCACAGCTACTAATATTAAAGATGACAAACAACAAATTATGCAATTGAATTTTTAATAACAAAGATACTACATTTTAACATGGTGAAATATACTTGGCTAAGTCCAGATTAAAAAAAAAAGTATCTAGCCCAACAGTACAATCATACAGCTTTGTACGGAACATTCCATAGATCAACAGAAAATACATTTGAGCACAAAAATAAAAAATAAAGAGAATCTCTAAGCAGCATTTTATTTCTGCAAAAGACGTATCTTGTACTGATTAAATATCTACAAGTGCTTTTCCTTTACAAAAATACATATATTCTTAATAGACTAAGTCATTAACAATGACCTGGTAATTCTTTCACTTCAATTTGAATGATTTATAAGCTAAATCTTACAACCACAAAAAGGTTTTTATTTGTATTAAGATGTTACCACTTTTGACAAAAAGCTTAAAATATTTTATATTTCAAAGGAAAATTAGCAACATAACTTTACAATATATTCTATGACATTCGACTGATTGTGAGGGCTACTCTATTTAAAACTGATGATCTCTGTTGTGTTGCTCAGATGCAGGAAAGCAGCAGAACCCTGGTACTCCCCCAACAAGCTCCTGTCGTGGACCACAGCTTCATAAGGACACTTAGGCCCCCACCCCCATTCTAAAAAATACAACAAAAGAAAACCGACCCCAAACAATGCTAGGCTGATCCCATTATATTTTTAATGTGTAGAACTCCTGCTCCAGTGGACTGATGTGCACAGGATGGATAAATTTGTTGACTATCTCTACATCACCCAGAATTATTTAATCTTCATTTGCACTAGATTAGTTTCTTATTCCATGAAGCTCTATACAGTAGAAGAAAACTAGACTCAGTATTCAACATATGTTTTACTTGATTCCAGATTTAAAATTATTCAAATTAAAAAATATTTTTGAAAAATGAGTCTCAGTTTTGAATCATAGAAAAAGGGGCATAACGAGTATACAGACATTTGAATGAGCATTTAAAATAATTACTTTTAATTTTATAACTTTCTGAAAGGAAGTGCTCAAGCATTTAAATTCTATTTGAAAATATAGTAAGGAAAGCAAGTAAACATTATTTATGAAAACTGTATTACACTAGGAAGAGAATCACTTAAATTGGAAAACCATCACTGCAATAAAAACTATGAAAACTGTATTTTACATTTAAGCACATTTTAATGAACTTTCAGTCTGATATCTTCCATCAAAATGCTACTCAATTAGGTTTATCAAGTAAATCCAGAAACGGTTATTGTGTGCCTTGAAAGGGTTTGAGTCTCTGGTGTATTTAATATTTTTCATTTTTTCATAAACTAGATCTAGCAGACATATTCCTTATTTTTGCCCAAACTGTAGGAATATATATTATAAAGCATTGATAACTGCATTTCAAGTTTTTGTGTTTCTAATCCAGAAAATTAAAATTATGGCAAACTCATTCATTTTTGAACTACCAACCAATATCTTACTAGTATAAAGCTTAGCTTTCTGGAAAATTCCTTATGATAAACAGGAGTATGTAACAGAGTGTGCATCCATTTTTACCCTATCCAAAGAGATTTACCTAATGACCTATCAGAAAGACTTCATGAGTTTTACCTTTAAGGTAAATCTTATTCCTGCCCACAGCACGAATTCCCAAGAAGAAATGGTACAAGGGGGATAAGGAACTTCCTCTTGATGTACATGCTTGTTTTGTGACCCATACTGTCAAAGTTGGCTGTACGGCTAAATTCTAATAATAAACTAAGTGCTGAGAAACAAGAGAAAGAGTTGGTTTTTTTTTGGAAATGAAGTTTTGCTCTGTAGCCCAGGTTGGAGTGCAGTGGTGTGATCTTGGCTCACTGCAACCCAACCTCTTCCTCCCAGGTTCAAGAGATTCTCCTGTCTCAGCCTCCCATGCAGCTAGGATTACAGGTGCCTGCCACCATGCACAGCTAATTTTTGTATTGTTAGTAGAGACGGGGTTTCACTATGTTGACCAGGCTGGTCTCAAACTCTTGACCTCAAATGGTCCACCTGCCTTGGCCTCCCAAAGTGCTGGGATCACAGGCATGAGCCACTGTGTTTGGCCTACAATTGCTTTTTAAGGGGGGAAAAAAACCACAGGCCCTTATGGAATATTTTGAATATAGAGACAGTACTTACATAAATCCCATAAAATGTACTCTCTTCTATACAAGTATGTCAGCACTTTTACCAAAGTCTATCTTTAATAAAATTTCTTATATTATGAGGAACATAGGAGCTAAATCTAAGTTTAATTTTAGTTTACACTGCCTCCATGAAATAAAAAGCCTCTCAAATTGAAAATCTCACATTTCAAAGTATGTATTTCTCTCACTTTTCATGCAGAGGAAGGCTATTTGTTGTGTTTGTCTCTTTCTCACCTTTGAGGATTTCCTAAGATCTGTTAGATGATGCTGGAAAACAATAAAGATATTTAAAGGAAGTGTGTTCTGATTATTGCAAGAAAAACCTGCATTTGACTGATCTCACCAAGAAAATTCAGTTTAAAGCCTTTCTTTGGTGATATTTTAGCAATTAATCAAGGTTATTGCCTAACTATATAAAATTAAATTGTAATCTAAAAATTTCCAACCTCCAAACTGTTAAAACTGTCTCTCCAACATGGTTATTAATTTATTGTAAAATGTCTTTGGTGATATCTATATTCTTATGAAAATCTTTCAAAAAAAGATTAACTTACAAGAGCCTATTTAGATATGAAACCATTCATTGGAGACAGGTACAGATAACTCAAACTTTATGCAGTAAATTTAAAACAGAAACACACTTTAGCAATGAGGCACTTTCTCTTAAATATTTCAGTAAAGCTAAACAGTTCACAATATTATATGACACACTTTTTTTCCTTAAAGAATCAGTTGAAATTTAGATTACATTTGAGTGTGTAATGTAGTTGAGCAAAGTCATTACATTTATAAAATATGGCACATTAGCATGGGATAGATGTTTAATGTATAAAGAAATAATATATTTCTCTAAAAGTACAGGTATTGATCGACTTACCACCTATGCAACTTACGACCATTCCACTTTACGACCACAATCGCTAGCCATGACTGCTCTGTGTCTGGCAGCGCAAACGTTGCCCAGCTGGGCGTACGACAGTGCGGACCAGCTTCCGGCAGCACTACCATCTCCACGTGCACCATTTCAACTGTACATATAGCCTACTCAACTTACGACCAAATCGTGTTACGACCGGTCCACGGTCCCGACTGTGGTCGTTAAGTCGAGCACTAGCTGTAGTTAAAATACATTACCCAAGTTACCTGCACTCCAGACTGAGTAATTACCTCATCAATGAGCATTTGAGTTTATTTTTTCATACTTTGTAAAAGTGTTTTGCTAATTTAGAGAAAAGGCCATATTTTGATTTCTCTATTAACTGATGTGATTACTTCAATTAAAGTAATGTTTATAAACCCCAGTCATTCTTTATATCTAAGTTTCTTTGACCCTTTTATATTTAGAATTTCTAAGGCAGATAAAACAGATAACAAAATCTTTTATGGAAGTAAAGGTCTTTCAGTTTATTGCTTAAGAAACAACAGATTAAAGAAAACTTTTAGTTTTATTCTCTGATTTTACAGATTCAGATGATTATTCCTATAGTTTATATAAAGAATTCATTTTATAAGCACCCTAAATTTATAAAGCTAACCACAGAATTTGCCTATATGTTTTTTCTATACCTAGTTTCTTACAAATTCTACAACCTGACTTAAGGGATAATTAACAGGGAATACAGTGTATTACTAGACATAAAAGTAGTCCTATCCTTAGAAAGCTATAACTGAACATACCAAAAGAAGTCAGTTGAAGAAATCTGTGATTCTAGTAGTAATATCACATCACTTAGGACCATCAAAAAAAATGTGTACCTTTCTCCAAATGACAGTTGATGCCTTTCTTAATGTAAGCTTTTCACGTTTTGGCACATATTCCACAGCATTTCAATAAAAATGTTAATGCATTATCAGTAAATAGAGGAATTCTATATAAAACTATTCTCAGTTTCATCATTGCTCTCTATATTTCCTTGGAAAATAGTGAAATTACATATGACAAGGCAACCGACCAAATTTAAAGAGATTTTGGGGATAAAATTCATTTATGGCCATTAAGTTTTGGCTGGGGGCAGCAAAAACATCAAAGTCTCACTTGTGATTTTTAAAATGCACTCTTAATTCATTCTGAGTTGATTAAAATTAACTTATATTTGCAAAACACTATTTTAATCACTGACCTAGATGTGACAAATAATTTTTAAAAGTTCTTAGGGATATCTGCGAACTGGGTTTTACAGCATAGAAAAATAATTTCTGTAGCTAGATAGTAAATTCAGTTTTTTCAGCCATTTATAGTTAATGAAAATCTGCCTTTTAAATTCTGCTTGTGAGCCATTCCAAGAATAAAAACAATCTAACAAAACAAAGTATTGCCGTAACCTTTTCCACCAAATTTAGAACAGAAAAATTTAATAGACTTTTTAACTCAAAAAAAGATATAAGAAGAAGATAATTATGAAGTTTTAGCCTTTTACATAGTGAAATGTATTAAGATTTACCTGTATTTTATGTTTGCTATAGTTGTACAATATCTTATTTCTACGAATCATTTTGAAATTCAGAAGGCATTAATTTCTGATACATTTTACTGGAAAATGTGGGACATTTACCACATATGCAGTATAAAAACTAAATGTGTGTAATACACAGATTGTGCTCATGTCATATTTTTAAATTATTTTTCCTAACTTTCAAGATTTTTTTCTAAGTTTTTGAAAACTGTAAATTTTAAATGGTTTAAAATGACCGTTTTCATATAACTTAAGGTAACAAGACTTTCTTTGACTTGCAGACTAATTCTAAAATGAATGGAAGACTTAACAAAACTGCAAAATACAAGACATTTTCTATTTCTGATCTTAATGAACTCATGTATAAAACAATAATCCCATTTCCCTGATTACTACAGGATTTAAAATAAAATACCCTTAACCTATTAATTTTGGTTAGCATAGTTATCTTCTATACTGCATTTGTTCTATTTTATGCATTTAGTTTGGAAATGTGAAAGGTAACTAAGAGTTTTAATCTACAACTGTTTTGAGACTTTTGAAATCCATAAAATAGCTAATGTTATGTGCTCTAAAAATCCTAATATTTAAAATCATCATAACTCTCTGCATGCCACAATGACATATACCTAAGGCCAACTTAAAAAGAGAAATAATGCACTCATTGAACGACAGCAACAATGTAATGATACATGAAATGGGCTATACAATGACATTTCATGAAGCAGCACCTGCTTGTCATAAGGCATCATGAAAGAAGATTAACCTTACTTACACATTAATTTTATCAGAAGTAAATGTGATCAGCTGCCAACATTTTGAATGGTTGGGAATCTAACTTCAGTTCAAGAGGTCACATACATTTTCAATCTGGAGGGCTAACGTGCCTTCCTTGTGCAATTGGTAGACTATACAGACAGATGCTTAGAATGTCTACAATTATGTTGTGCTCTAATGTTACAGAATAATTGGAATTCTTCGCAAAAGGACTTGCACACTCAAGAATGGACTTTTTTTTTTCCACACAAAAAGCTTACCAAGAACAAGACAGTGGCTCAAAAACCACTTTTCTAAATATATTTCCATACAAAATAATTTCAATATATAATTATTAGTTTCTTGTACAGTACACTATTTAAACAAGAATAAAATAGTAAGTATGTGAAAACTGCAACACCACAACAATTGAGCCATTTTACTAGTGTAATTAAACATTAGAACAATCTTGGAACAGGCAAGCAAAATATTCAGAAGGCTGAATCATGGCGGCACACCTAACTGATTTTGACCGTGACTTGCACACTTTGAGACAACACAGATACCTTATGCAGATGGTTCAGTAGCAGAATGGCACTTGGTTTGCTCTTAATAGAAACAACATGAATGCAACTGACAATTTAGAGATAGACAATGGCCTTATTTGCATGCTGAAAATCTGGTTGTGTTCCTCTAGTCCACACACCGTTAACTGTGCAATCTGTTGACGAGTAAACAAATAGTGCAGGATTCATCTCAGTGAGGTCTGGGCCCCTTGGTCTAACCAAAATCAATTCTTGGTCGATACTGCAATACCATAGGGTATGACTATAAAATAAAGACAGATAACAAATAAGACTATATTTAGATAAAAACAACACAGTTGTTTATATACAAAAAATTTTAAGATTTGGGATTATAATTTACAATATTTCCTGGTACTAGTGATTACAACAGTTAAAATTTGAGTTACCATTAAAACTCGATTTCTTTTGATTGCCATTATTTTTCTAGAATCAGTCGAGTTTTCAATAATATGCAGCAGAGGTCAAGTTCAAAGGCCTACAGACATCATACAGGTGATATATATGACTAGTACTAGCATGACACTTAGGAGAGGCAGGACCTGGGAAGGACTGAAAGTTAGATACCCTGCTTAACAGGCATTCAACTAATAACCCGATAACGTGAACAAGACAAATCAGCAGCCTGGATTCCACCACAGCCTAGGCTGGTGAGAGCCCACTAAATCACAAATTGACCAAGAGACTTCCTCTGCTAGGAACCTGTAAACCTGCAGTAGTGTTCACAAATCACATTTCTTACAAGTTTGACACATTTTTTTTTTTTTTAGTATCTAAAATTTATTTTAATGATCCTTTAAAAATATTGAAAAAGTAGCTAATTGTTATATGAAGCATTTAGGTCACTGCCTCCTTTCAACAGTTGATACTACTAAACATTTGGATTTGACTATTACATAATGGTTCATATTGTTCTTCATGTCACTAATTATGTAGAAAAGGTATCATATATCTGGCTATCATACAGAACTAGAGAGGAAACAGCTTTTTTGGGATAAAGGCATATGCCATGCTACCTCTGTGTTTGTTTTTACCTTCTACCATATCTTATAGAACCAAAATACCAATAGTTTTCCTTTTCTTAAAGCTGCAGATACCCCCTCTTAAAATGAAATTTGAGGAGCTACTTTAATAGAATCAAAAAGGGGCTGAGACGGCCACTGACCAATGTTTCTCCATCTTAGTATACGTGAATACAAAAATATGGTACAAAGAACTTGGTATTCTTTCATACAGATAAAAGGGCTAGACTGAGATTTAACAATCCTGAAAAAGACCATTTCAGTGCCTACTATAGCTATGCTACACACTGGGAAGACTCAATGTTGGAATCTGTCACCATTCAGCTCAAGATGGGACTAGAGGGTAGGAATACAAATGCCCTTGGGTCTTCCTCTCCCAGCTGAAGTACAGCAGATGCTACTACTGCTGTGTAAGGGCTGGAGTAAAAGTCTCAGACAGATTCTCAGGGTTTCCAGGGTCTAAAACTTGTAAAACTGTTTTGGTTTTGTTTACTTGTTTTCAGTTTAAACTTTATTTAGTTACCTTTGAATCAGAATACCTGGGAGCAAAACACAGATATCTCCACTTTACTAAACTCTCTGGATGTTTCTTAAGCCCAGTGAAATTCTGAGAGGACCAACATCCTTTCCATTCTACCTCACCCAACCCACAATTTGCCTTTCACTGTATTATTCTAGTTTTGTGTTTGATTCTTGTTGAATCTGCACACTTTCTGCAAATACATAAGCCACTAATTTTATAATTCATTCATCATACATAGAAGTATCCATCAACAATTCTACTAGGGATAAAGGTACAAAGAGAAGTAAAGTGGCTTGACTGACAATGCTTAGGATTTTCTCAGTTTTTGGCTGAAGACAATTTTTTCTCCTCCAAGCAACCATTTTTGTGTGTTCTGTAAGAACATATGAAGTGTAATAATTTTATTGAAATGTGTCACAACACTGAAAATTGTAAAGACATATTTTAAGTTCTATTAGTGTTTCAGTTTGTTTTCTGAAATAAAATGGCACCACACTAACAATAATGAAATGCAGCATATCATTACCTCTTAGTGTTAAGTGACTGCACTAAATAGACCTACATTTCAGTTTCTAGTCCTCAAGTCTCATTACGTACTAAAAATAAAGAACAGATATTTTCAAAGAATACATTTCAAATAAAATAAATTTAGAAAATGATAAAACTGTTTTGATGTCCTTTTTTCCTTAGAGAATAAATTATTTTTATCAAAACTTGTCTTTACTGCAGATTTAGAAAATACAAAAAGGTAACAAGAAATGAACTGTGAGTTATAAGTCTCCTTTTGCTGTACATTTGAGTTTAGTTCTTTTTTCTTTGCTATTATAACTTAATCTTAACCCACTGATCTATTTCTTTTGCCAAAGGATAGATTCCTAAAAGTGGAACTGCTAGTTCAAACAGCATACACAGTTTAAAAGGCTTTTTGATAAATGCTGTTACACTGGTCTTTGAGGAAGTTGTTCTATTGTTCTACATTTTTAAAAGAAATTTGAATGCCTATTACTCTATAGCCTCATCAATAATATTATCTTTTCACACCTCTTAATTTGGCAACTTAATAAGCATAAAATAGTATTTCATTTTTTTCATTTCTTGACTTCTAAGGAAGTTCATCCTTTTTATACTTATTAACCCACTGTTTCCTTCTTGTGTATCTTGCCTGATCATGTCCTTTGCTCATTTTTATGAAAATCTGGGCTTTTTCTTACATTTATATGAATTTTTTATGTATCAGTAACATTAAATCTTTCTCTATCATACATTGCAAATATATTTTGATATTGAACAATCACGACCTCAAAGAGGGGGTCCTTTGGCTATCTCATTAAAACTATTTACCTATTTTTTCTTCTAACACTATAAATTTTAACCTGTTTATTTTTTGTCTGTTACCATCATTAGTGTAAGTTCCTTGAAAGAAAAGATTTGTGTTCATTTTTACTTCTGTACCCCCAAAGGCCTAGAAGAGTGCCCAATGCATAATATTCACTAGATATTTGTTAAATTAATCTTTTTTCTGCATTAATTTGAATACGCTTTACAGACTCATACATACTAGGGTCTGTTCCTGAGCTATTCTTTTTATTCATATGTCTATGTTTAAGGCAGTACCCTATTTTAATTACTTCAGCTTTAAAATATGTTTTAGTATGTGCTAGTGCACATTCCCTCTCAATACTCTTTGTAAAAAACATGACTGATCAGAAGCATCTGTTGATATTTCCTTATGAGCTTTAGAATGACTGACTTTGTCAAGTTAAACAAAGATCTGGTAAAAATGTTTTTGGAATTATATTTAACTTCATAATTTAATTGTGGGGAGAACTGGCATCTTTATAAAATTTAATGTACTATTTAAATTTCTTAGGTATGAAATGAAATTTTGGATATATATGAGAATGTCTTTGTTCTTAAGAAATGTATGCTGAAGTGTTTAGTGGTCAACTTTCCTGATACCTGCAATTTACATTCAAATGATTTATATATATATATATATATATACACACATATATATAGACACACACACACACACGCGCACACACACACACACACAGAGATTGATTAATAAGGTAAGGAGATGGGAAGAGAAAGATAGGGGAAGAGGAGGTAAAAATGTGGCAAAATGTTAACTGAGGAATCTAGGTAAATGGTAAAGAATATTCCTTTGTATAATTATTTCAATTTTTTGTTTTGAAAAATTTTTAAATAAAAAAACATCAGGACTTCACATTAAATTTTATCAAATACCTTTTCAGTATTTACTGATGACTTTTTTTTTTTTTTTTTTTTTTTTGAGATGAAGTCTCGCTCTATTGCCCAGGATGGAGTGCAGTGGCGTGATCTTGGCTCACTGCAACCCCTGCCTCCCATGTTCAAGCCATTCTCCTGCCTCAGCATCCTGAGTAGCTGGGACTATAGGTGTGTGCCACCACGCCCAGCTAATTTTTGTATTTTTAGTAGACATGGGGTTTCACCATGTTGGTCAGGCTGGTCTCAAACTCCTGACCTCATGATCCGCCCACCTCAGCCTCCCAAAGTGCTGAGACTACAGGCATGAGCCACCATGCCTGGCCTCATTTTTGTATTTTTAGTAGAGACGGGGTTTCACCATGTTGACCTGGCTGGTCTTGAACTCCTGACCTCATGATCTGCCTGCCTCAGCCTCCCACAGTGCTGGAATTACAGGCGAGAGCCACCACGCTCCGCCCTGATGATTTTTCTTACTTAGCGTATATATGTATAAAATGTATATAAATATATATAATATATACATATTTAATCCCCTTCTCCCAATACTGTCATTCCTTCATTTCTGATAAAAATGATATTATGTCTTGGTTTACTATTCTCTTACTATATTAGTATATTATTTATCATTTTTCTATTTATATTCAAAATGAGATTTGGTGCTAGTTTTCTAATGGTGGGTTCCCTGTCAGCTTTTGCTATTTTAAGAATGGCAAAGTGGAAGGATTCCACCTTTTCTAATGAGTCACAATAGATATAGCATAGAAATGATCTATTCCTTAAAAATTTGAGAATATGACTATAAAATCATTTAGGTATCCTTTCAGGAAGTTAAAGGTGCACCCTATGAGCTAAAAGTTCAATTTTCTTACAGGACTATAATCCATTAATGAGGTGTTGAAGGAATGAAAGAAAATTTGTATGGATTTAGAAATTTGGTCTCACCCCAGTTTTTCCCTAATACTTTGGATCATGGTTTAAGGACATCTTCATTTCTAAGGAAATACATAGGCATGAATACCAAGAGTAAGCAGAAAGCCATGTATTGCAGCACAGGTTATAGCTACAGGCAGTGTTATCATTACAATTCAGCATCCCCAAATCAGCTATGAGGCTAAAGCAGCTAACACATTTATACACCTCAGATATACACAAATCTCACCAGCTCAGTTAAATTATTTACCCCTCACCCTTATCTGCATAAAGAGAAAAATGATCCTGCTCCCTCCATGACTTGACTTGGCCTTCAGAGATGTTAACTTTACTTACTACATTGCTGAAAAGCTAGGATTTAAAGAGTGTGTATCAAAAAGCACATATTTTAATGAAGGCATGAGAATTCCCATATCATAGCATTGACAAAAAGGCTGAGGCAAATTCTAAACTGCTAATTAAATGTTTTCAATGAGCAATTTCAAGTGATTCTTTAATGCTTAATATACATTCATTTGTCCCAACTCCAAAACTGTAACACTGGAGGCAAGTATGCCAGTTAAGTTTATTATATAATTACAATTATCCTTTCTCCCTGGCTCCAAGGAAATAAAGATGAAAACTATTTTAATTACTGAAATAAAAGAACAATGGATATTTTATTATTTATTTGTTTGTTTGAGACAGGGTCTTGTTCTGTCACCCATGCTGGAGTGCAGTGGCACAATCTCAGTTCACTGCAACTTCTACCTCCTGGACTGAAGCAATCCACCCACCTCAACCTCTTAAGTAGCTGGGACTACAGGCGTATACCAACACACCCAGCTAATTTTTGTATTTTTTTTTTGTAGATACAGAGTTTCACCATGTTGTCCAGGCTGGTCTTGAGCTCCTGGACTCAAGCAATCTGTCCACCTCAGCCTCCCAAACTGCTGAGATTACAGATGTGAGCCACTGTGTCTAGCCTAAAATTTATTAAAAAAAACTCTGTCTTGCTCTCTCTCTCTATATATATATACACACACACACACACACACACACACATACATATACATATAAATAGAGATAGAGTTTCACTCTTGTTGCCCAGGCTGGAGTGCAATGGCGCAATCTCAGCTCACTGCAACCTCCGCCTCCCAGGTTCAAGCAATTCTCCTGCCTCAGCCTTCTGAATAGCTGGGATTACAGGCATGTGCCACCATGTACGGCTAATTTTTGTATTTTTAATAGAGACAAGGTTTCTCCATGTTTGTCAGGCTGGTTTCAAACTGCCAACCTCAGGTGATCTGCCCACCTTGGCTTCCCAGAGTGCTGGGATTACAGGCATGAGCTACTGCACCGAGCTGACTCCTGGCCTCAAGCAATCTTCTATCCTCAGCCTTCCAAAGCGCTGGAATTACAGGCTTAAGCCACCATGCCTGGCCCAACAACGGATATTTTAAAGAAATGCTATGGTCAATTCACAGGATTAAAGTTGATCATCAATCATGTCTGTACCCAACAACAGTCTTTACTATAACCTCGTCTATTTCCCAAATTTTTAGAATTTATCAGATAAACTTTCCTCAGACACATGTTCAAGTTTTCTTAGTGCATTATTAAATTAGTTCACTATCATTTTTAAAGAAGTAACCCAAGTAAAGTACTTAGGGAAGGGCTAATAAGCAAGCTGTTATTTAGATTCACCTAATTTGGCATTTTATATTTCATTTGTGGTTGAATGATTCACTAAAAAATAACATTTCTGCAAAGAAAGTAACATCTCAATCCAATATTGAGCAGAAATTTCTCAAGGACTGAAAGCAGTAATTATTAAAAATTCCTTACTCATAAATAATAGCCTTAACATTTCTAATTTCATTTTTAGTTCAGTAAAATTAAATAGATAATTCAGGAGAAATAAATAATGGGAAATCTTGGGTATGTAAGTTGAAAAGATAAGTTTTTTGTAGCTCCAATAACAATTAGTTTTACAAAGTCAAATGTCTTAGTAATTGAGTCTGGGATGAACGTGCTCACCGCCATGGTGTCATGATGGTCATATGTACAGTCGTGAGTGCCTCTTACCTGATACAAAGGGCCATCCTGAGAGCAGACTTGCGAAGCTGAGCAGTTCAGACACCGAAACTGCGGAGGAGATGAACTCATCAGATAAGAGGCATCCACAACTGGACACATATTTAAAATTGATTATTTAAAATATTTTAACGTCAAACACAAGAGTCAACATGATTAATGGTAAATAAACACTTTCCAAGAAAATGGTGGTTGTTTTTGGAAAAAAAAAAAAGACTTTAATAACTTAGTCATTGGTAAAATTTAGCTTGAAGTAATTTTAGCATCTAGATATGAGTTTTGTTTAATATTCTGCAAATGCAAAAATGGTGGCCTCTCCTTTCCAGAACATTTTCAAATACTATTTCCTGGGAAAACCTCACTTCTTGCATGCACAAGGGACATCCTCTTTCTTCCATCCTTTCCTGTGATCACTCTCTCCTAGATCTCTTCTTCAACTTCCCCTGAAAGTAATACTGTTCAAGGAGATCAGAGCTCTGAGAGGAACATGGAATTCCACTCAACCTATAAGGCATCTGCTTTGTTTTATAGTAGGTTATTTATACTGCTTTATATTGCTTAGATTAGATTAGCATTAGATTGTGAGCTCCTTGAATCTATATTTTAGTCACAGTGATCTTAAGAGCTAAGGGCCAGAACTGGCACACATCAGCCACTGAGATGTTTTATGAGTAAAGCAGTGAGAGAACACGCTTTAAAACTATTGAGGAGATTTGTTTGTAAACCTACTACTTTGAAACAATTTATTCACATTAAAAAATCATTCCCAAATTCTAATTTTTAAATATTATGCTAAACTATTATTAAATATAATTTTAATTGTAATAAACCCTAATTTTAAATATTATGCTAAACTATTATTAAATATAATTTTAATTGTAATTGGACTATAAAACATAAAATGTATTCTTTAAAATTATGCATATATGAATTCAACATTGCCTACTCTTCAAAATGGAAGAAAAATTAAATACATAAAAAATATAAGGTACAAATTAACCAGGATATTTCTAACATAGCAAAGTAGGTTTTTTAAAGATATACTTTGAAAGAGTATTTAAATAAGCATTGATTAAAACAAATATATTTGTAGCCTTTAAAATAAAATTTAAGAAATTTTCTATTTTCCCAAAATAATAATTTTTTCTCTAGCAGTCAGTTCTTAATTTTGGGTACTTTGTGCATCAACATGCTGCAAGGCAGGCTCAGCTCTGCTATCTTTTAGCAACCTTCTCCTTTCTCTCTGAAGAGTCACCAAACTCTGGTCTATCAGACTCTGTCTAACACTGAAAATCCTAAACAGGGTTCAACAAGAGTAAGTAGTAAAGTAGCAATTTCACTAAATGATTCCCTTTTTTTTTTTTCCTATTGATCTCTTTGGTATCAGTCAAGATGTCCACACTTGCTTTTCTTACAATTGCCTGCTAATGCAAATAAAGCAAAAGAAGACAAGCATGGTGTAGTAAGTTTAGGTGCTGGACTGGCAGAGATGGCTAGAAGACATAAAACTAAATCAGGATGATCTGGGAAAGGTGGCTATACTGAGAACTACCCAAGAAAAGGTGAGCAGGAAGAATGTGAGTCCATGATGAAAGCTAAGACTAGATAGAGATATTGACAATAAGCTCTCAGGTATGAAACTAAGTGAAGGAGGAGAGAATTATAATCATAATGAAGGTGAACGTACATAAGCTACTAATAAAATAACATTTATCATGTCAGACACTCTATGAAACACTTTAGTATAGTTCATTAATTCTTAGTTTTACCCAGATTTTAAAGAATACAAAAACTGAAAACTGAGGCAAAACTAGGAAGCAGGACACAACTGGAAGAAAATAGCTGTAACTCATAATAGCCAAAGACTCATATTCAGAACACATAAAGAGCTCCTAGAATTCAATAAGAAAAAGACAAACATCATGAAAAGAAATCAAGGCAATGAATATGAAAGGTAAATTCACAGAAGAAATATAAAATTGATAATATGCAGCGCTGACGAAAATGTCGAAAAATGGGCACTCTCCTACATTATTGGTATAATTATAAATTTCAAATAATATCCACTAAAACCTTTTCAGAGACAATTTGTACCTATCAACATTTAAAACCTGCATATTCTATTGAAAATCCACTTCTCAGAATCTAGCCAATGGATATGCTTGCATATGTGTAAAAAGACATATGTACTAGAATACCTTGCTTGTAATGTCAAAAAATTTGAAAAAAAATCTAAATGTCCACCAAAGGACTGTGCTAATTAAATTATGCTACAGCCACACAAATGTAATATTATTAATGTATTAAAAATTTGTTTCAAAGTTTACTGACTCTGCACAAGACACATTCTCAAATTTTAAAAAAAGTTGTAAAACAATACATATGATTCCATTTATGTTTCAAAAAATGTGATGACCCTTGGGCATGAATATTGTAAAGAAAATCCAAGTATTAGATTGATGACAGATTAGATGACATAAGTCCCTTCCAAACTGAGATCTGATTCTGTAATTCTGCATCCTCAATTTATAGATGTGGAAACTACAGGGAAAGTCAGTAGTCACAGATCACATCTCCTGAAACACTAATATTCAAAGGATGGTCCAAAGATCAGATGCATTAGCAGCTCCTGGGAGTTTGCTAGAAATACAGTATCTTAAGCCTCACTCCCAGACCTACTGAGTCAGAATCTGTATTTTACCAAGATCCTCTGATGATTTACATCTGCATTAAAGATTTAGAAGCACGGTTTTTTTCTTTTTTCTCCCACTAATAAGAAAAAGATTAATGTCAAGCTTGAGTACAGAATCTTGAGGTGGCAATACTGATATGAACTGAAAAAATTTCAAGAGCTAAGTCTGACCAGCTGTTTGTTTTGATTTCTAAAGAGAAAAATCTTTCAAAAATGCATCACAGTAGAGACAAGGGTCTAGAGTGGGCAGGGACCATAGAAAACAGGCTGAGCCTGAAGTGGAACTGCCGCAAGACAAAGGAGAACAGTGGCACAGAATCTGTATGGTGCAGGGAAATACCCAACTATACTTGAAAAATTGAGGCAAAATCAATTCTCCTGATATTCTTCCTAAGAGGCTAGAAGTAGGAAGAGGTAAAGGGGTGATCTGAATATGGAGTATCCTTGTTGGAGATGAAAGACTCCAGGGGGCAGAGTGGTATCCAATATGAGGAAAGAAAATGACAGACTTACTCCCAGTATGTAGAATAGATGAGGAGACATCCCATAGTACCAAATAGAATAAAAAACCACAAAGATGCCAATTCCAGCCAAATCAACTTAGAAATAATCCAGTGCCAGTCACAATCCCATTCTAAAGCTCATCTTGAAGAATAAATGGGTAAAATTAGCCAATACAATTTCAAAAGAATAATTGAGGATTTTGCCCTAACAGGTCCTAATAATACACATTATAAAGCAATCTAGAAGGCCCAACTACTTGCCCTATAAAACATGTTTAAACTTCATCCAAATTTATCCCAAAGAAAGTAGACAACTGGAGGGTTTTAGACAGGGGTGGTCAGCTCTTTATAAAAGCTAGATAATGTGTAATGCTGGTTCAGAATAAGACCTGCTCACAAGAACAAAACAATGTCTAGGAACATATAGATACACACACACACACACACACACACACACACACACACACACACACACATGGACATAGTGACATCTCAAAACAATAAGGTTAAATATGGATTATTCAATACATTGTATTTCTTATTTAAAAATAATTTGAAATAAATGAGAATCTTAACCTTGTGTTTTTGTAGAACTAAATTAATCTCAGATAGATTAAAATTTTTAATACCAAAAAGTAATAGAAACAAGTAAAAGAACCACATGGTGGTCATTAGTTTAGGAAATAAGTGGACTCCAATCTAAGGCAGAGCTAGTTAGCTGGTAAGTAGACTAGTAAGAGCTCTTCAGACATCCTGGCATCTTGCTGGCAGTGGATGATGAAATGAGAAGGGATGTGATCACAACAATATGCTATAGGAGCTTAATCAAGAAATGATTGTTTTAGTGATACTACTGCATTTGTCCACGTTACTCAACTGTCAGAATTCATCTGTTAATATTATAATAATTTGTAATTGGAAGCTGAATAAAAATTTAAAATTTATTTAACAGAAACAAATAGAAAGCTGAGATTTAAATAAATATTATTTTCAGGATATATTTTACATAACCATTACTTTATAAAAGATAACATTTTCATTCAATTTACTCTTTGAACAAGTACTGATTGAGTATATATGCTGGGCACGGCTCTAGGTGCTGGAGATTTAGCAGTGAACAAACAAAAATCCCTGTCCTCAGATTATATTTTACTTGGGGACAAACAATAAACATATAAATAGGAGGCATAATATGTCAGAGGTGGCAAGAAATACTATGGAAAACAATAAGGCATGAAAAGGGAGTAAGAATACCATCGGTAGAGGGGGTTGTAATTTTAGATGAGGTCAGAGGCCTCACTGAGAATGTGACATAGAAGCAAAGTTACTTAAGTGAAGGGGGTAAAGGAAACCAGTTAGGTGGATACCGTGGGAGGTGAGGGCAAGCCAGGTGTGGCTGAGGAAACAGGCCAGTGTGGCTGCAGTGCTGTGAGGCCAGGCAGGCAAAGTAAACAATGAGGTGTGAGAGTATCTAGGGAGATTATATGGTGGTCACATATGTAGGTCTCTAGAAAGGCTCTGATTTTTCCTAAATTAAACATTATTAAAGGAATCGGAGAATGGAGTGGGCATGTTCTAACCTGTTTTAAGAGGATCACTCTGGCTGCTGTATGAGGTGAAGACAGAGGTTGGGCAAGCGTGGTGGCATGGCCTTGCCAGGAGATTGGCTATGGTGGGTTGGACTAGTAGAGAAGTGGAGGTAAGTGACACATAGCTGGATTCTGAATGTATATTTTGATGGTAAAGGTTACAGAATTTGCTAAGGATGGTTGAAAGAAAAAGGCAGACAGGGCTGACTTCAGGGATTTTGGTCTGAGCAACTGGAAAAATGGAGCTACCAACCTTAGAATTATTGAGGTTGTGATGACTGAGGTGAAACAGGTTTGGAGGAGAGTAACCAAAAAACAGGTTTGTTACACCAACAAACGAAATGGGCTAATATATTGCTTTGCTGTTGCACTAAATGTAAAAGGTAGTAATTTTTCTGTTTATTGGTTTAGTTTCCACCTGAATGATAAACCATAGCTATTGAACCACTTTTGAACTTTTACTAAAATAGGCCTTATAAAACCAAAACATTTAAACTATTCACAAATACGTAATCAGAAATGTAATTCATTAAGGACTGATTTAAATCATAGTCTCTTAATAAAAAATGTCTATAAATTAGCTCTTTCATACTTTGACATTAAAATAATGGCAGCTGGAGGAACTTTGGGAAGAGATCTTGTAAAGAACAAGTGAGCACTCATAGAGGTCATGCAGTGGATGTCCATTTATATCTCTTTAACCTTAAGACAAGTCTATTCATCAACATGATTTCAAGCACTAAAACACACTGCAATGCTTGCTAAACTATCAAAGAAAGCTGAAGTTACATTTAATACAGTATAATGTGTAATATCATAATATCCATTCCTCAACTGTGTTCGGTAAAAAAGAATTTACTACCTGTGCAATCTGTACCTGGTACCTGGAACATCTTGGTTGTAGGGATTAATTGAGGGCGACTGACACATGTACAGTCATTTAAAACATTATAAAATGTCACAGAAAGGCAGGTTGTAATTTACCAAATACAAAGGTAGTTAGATTTTTAAAAACGTGAACCACATAGATGTTTGGTGAGTTCTTCAAGGGCACATGCTATTTGGTGGCGGTATTAGAATGTATTTTTTCCTTCTTGCTTTCCGCTATTAGTGAAAGCATTCAGTCTCATAAGAAAGGCTTTACCTGGGGTTTTTCCTATGTCTCAAGTAGGAAAAAAACCTTCTGATTTACACATTTAGGTGCTTCACTTATTATTATATCATATAGAGACATTTCTTCTGCAAAAGAGCCAAGTATCTTACCCATAAGACAACGAGTTTTTGCAGCTTGTTTTGTAACAATTCCAGAGATGTTTACATTCAATATAAATATGTTTTGAAATACTGTAACATGGCAACCCTCATTATATCTGGATTCTATATTACTTATTCTTGTGTGAGGTTAAATTTCTTAATGTGTGTTATTTTTTAGAATTTACATTTTCATTTACATTTCAGAAAATGTAATAAATCTAGTTTACAGAATAAATTACGGTTTAAGAGTATGACATATTGTATCACAAATACCACAGAAGATAATTTTAGAATTCCAAAAGATAATCTTAAAAGTTATCTGGTCCAAACTTCTAGTCAATCTTAATTCATGTTTATTTATGCACTCAGATTATGAAGGTTATTTCTGATAGCATTACTACTATATTCCTTAGTCTCATATGACAGTCCTACAATCCCTAGGTACCTCAAATTTCCCTAATATCCCATGCTTGAACCTAAGTTATAGTTACTGCTGTAGAACTTAGTAGAACCTAAGTTACTATTGTATTCCTTAGTCTCATATCTCAGTCTCATATATCAGTCCTACAAACCAGAATCAAAGATATTGTTCAAAATACAAAATTTGTCTTTTGGGTTTTCTTCAGTTTTCTCCTTTGAATTGTTTCTCCCATACTGCTTAAGAGCCTAAGGCACAATAATCTAATTCTGGCATCAGAAAGCACAGCAAACTCACTTACCCTTAAGTCTGAGTTTATATTTTCAATGAAAAGGAGGTACCTGAAAGAAGATTATTTAGATTCTACCCTATCTGTCCCCTCTACCACAACCAAAAATAAACTTTCTTATCAACCATTAATCATATTAGTCAGGGCAGAACTTAGTTTCCCTCCCTACCATTCCATATACATAAGTGTTCCAATAATTTATTGGGTTTAAAAAAATATGTTATCTTCTCTGTCTTGGTTAGTAAAGTCCTGAACATAATTTAGATGGGGTTTTAATCTCACTTTAAATCTGATAAAACCACATTTACCACAGACCTTGATTTTACACATGGGACCAATTTCCAGAGTGCTAGGAGAAATAGTAACAAGAGGAATCAGTTTATTCTCTCTCCCAAGCTAGTTTATCTTTTTTAGTTCCTAATATTGTTAAAAATTTGAGTAACATAATGGTATATAACTAAATATACACATAGTAAATATAAAAGCAATTTACGTTTTCGCCTCTTAGTCGCCATCTTGTCATGTAGATGAATTCCATAGTATGATCCTTCCCCATAATTTCACCATTGCACAGCACATCCAGCTTTAAAAAGAATAATTATAGATCTATTAACATAATGTTGAATTCAGAAGTATTTTGCACAGTTTTTGAAATTTCAAAAAATATTCAAATAGTTATAACAAAAGCATTTACCATTATTTTAAACAGAAAGCATTTATTCTTCTCCTAAAGTGTTAACAATTTGGATATAAGTAACACACAGCACTGTTTATCTTGTCTCACATACTTGTATCTCAAGTCCATACACATAATTTACAAATGCAATGTAACTTTCTTAGTCCAAATCTCTGTCATGTCTCTTAGAAGTTTAAGGCATATTTCTGTGGCTGCCCCTTTTTGAACAAGAACCTACAGAAACCTCACAGTTCCTCTCAGCTCCTTTGACTTCTCAATTCCTCTCTCAGAATTCTTTCACCTTCCCAAGATTTGAAGAGGTTACTTTCTTCTTATTAGTTTGGGCTTGAAGAAGGAAATGAATGAATGTGGATACAGTGATTTATGGGGCTTTAAAGGTATATGAGAATTTTCAGTAATTACCAATAGCTAATTTGATATAAAAGTTAGGACTACGCCACAGGTCTGTGTCTCTTAGGGCTGTCTGGCTTCTCTGGTTTGCCTGGTTGGTAATTTGCACAATACTTACAGGATCCTCTTCTCACTTTGCACAAAGCTTCGAAAAAGTGTTGTACTTATCAGCGTTAACTTTTGCTCCAAGTTGCAGGAAGGGAACAACCCCTAAATCTTTAAGAAGGGTATAGGAACTGTGGCTATATTTCACTAATTCAACAAAGCATAATCAAGCAAATGTTTATCATCAATCCCTATAAATAAAACAACATTTTAGCTATCTAGCTATTAAAAACAAGCTGGAAAGATTTCATTTGAGGTGTGGGAGGGGAAGAAGAATGAGGTTTAAATAATTCTTCATCTGGCTGGAGACTACAGTTTTGAACTTTAAGATGAGTATAGTTTCAGTTAATTGTATTAGACACATGAAGCAAAATTGCTGATTTTTTGATGATTTATGATGACTTAACGTGGATCCCAAAATGTTTTTCAGGCATCATTTTATTAACTCTTAAAAGAATAAAGGAGTCATTTCATTTTCATCTTGTTTATAAATAAATTCATAAGAAAAATGAAGGGACTTACTTAGGATGCAACTGCTAATCAGGTATACTGCATCTATTAGTGTCATTTAGCAACTAAACTATCTTGCCCCAGTTATCAATGCTGTTACAAAAGCTTCCACTGTCAGGTATTTCATTAAATCATCCCCCTGCATGCTAGGCAGCAAAATAAGGGGGGAACTGAAAAAGATTCATAAAAGTTATAGGAAAACTCCTTTGCACTGGGATAGATAAGGAGATGTCAGTGTACTGAATCTCTCCCTCTGCCATCTTTTATAGAGAAATATGTACATGCCAGAGGTAAGACTATACAAGAGTAATAGTTCTCTTAGTAATAACAGCTTTCTAAAAATTAGAAAATGTTGACTCAATGAATCAGACTTAAAAGGAAATAAAACTGTACATGGTATTTTGGATGAAGAAAATAAAGTATAAAACCAAATAATAAAAACAATTTTATTGTCTATTTTTCACTTAGTCATATCTATACATTATTAGCATCATTTATTTTTATCAAGTACATTGGGCTTTGATACTTCCATATTTTTTTCCTAATACAAAAGTTGATGTCTCTAGAATTTGAAAAAATATTTGTAGAACCATAACAACAATTGTTATTATTATACTTTAAGTTCTGGGGTACATGTGCAGATCGTGCAGGATTGTTACATAGGTATACACACGCCATGGTGATTTGCTGCATCCATCTTCCCCTCCATCACCTACATTAGGTATTTCTCCTAATGTTATCCCTCTCCAATCTCTCCACCCCCTGCTATCCTTCCCTTGGCCCCCCACCCCCAAACAGACCCCAGTGTGTGATGTTCCCACCCTGTATCCATGTGATCTCATTGTTCAACACCCACTTATAAGTGAGAACATGCGGTGTTTGGTTTTCTGTTCTTGTGTCAGTTTGCTGAGAATGATGGTTTCCAGCTTCATCCATGTCCCTGCAAAGAACATGAACCCATCCTTTTTTATGACTGCATAGTATTCCATGGTGTATATGTGCCATATTTTCTTTAACCAGTCTATCACTGATGGGCATTTGGGTTGGTTCCAAGTCTTTGCTATTGTCAACAGTGCTGCAATGAACATACATGTGCATGTGTCTTTATAATAGAATGATTTATAATCTTTTGGGTATATACCCAGTAATGGGATTGCTGGGTCAAATGGTATTTCTATTTCTAGATCCTTGAGGAATCACCACACTGTTTTCCACAATGGTTGAACTAATTTACATTCCCACCAACAGTGTAAAAGCGTTCCTATTTCTCCACATCCTCTCCAGCATCTGCTGTCTCCAGATTTTTAAATGATTGCCATTCTAACTGGTATGACATAGTATCTCAATGTGGTTTGGATTTGCATTTCTCTAATGATCAGTGATGATGAGCATTTTTTCATATGTTTGTTGGCCTCATAAATGTCTTCTTTTAAAAAGTGTCTGTTCATATCCTTTGCCCACTTTTTGATGGGGTTGTATTTTTCTTGTAAATTTAAGTTCTTTGTAGATTCTGGATATTCGCCCTTTGTCAAATGGGTAGATTGCAAAAAATTTTTCCCATTCCATTGGTTGCCAGTTCACTGTAACGACTGTTTCTTTTGCTGTGCAGAAGCTCAGCTTAAGTTTAATTAGATCCCATTTATCTATTTTGGCTTTTATTGCCATTGCTTTTGGTGTTTTAGTCGTGAAGTCCTTGCCTATACCTATGTCCTGAATGACACGGCCTAGGTTTTCTGCTATGGTTTTTATGATTTTAGGTCTTACATTTATATCTTTTAATCCACTGGAGTTAATTTTTGTACAACATCTAAGGAAGGGGTCCAGTTTTAGCTTTCTGCACATGGCTAGTTTTTCCCAATACCATTTATTAAATAGGAAATCCTTCCCCATTGCTTGTTTTTGTCAGGTTTGTCAAAGATCAGATGGTTGTAGATGTGCAGAGTTAATTCCAAGGCCTCTGTCCTGTTCCATTGGTCTATATCTCTGTTTTGGTACTAGTACCATGCTCTTTTGATTACTGCAGCCTTGTAGTGTAGTTTGAAGTCAGGTAGTGTTATGACTCCAGCTTTGTTCTTTTTGCTTAGGATTGTCTTGGCTATGCAGGTTCTTTTTTGGTTCCATATGAGGTTAAAGGTGTTTTTTTCCAGTTCTGTGAAGAAAGCCAATGGTAGCTTGATGGGGATAGCATTGAATCTATAAATTACTTTGGGCAGTATGGCCATTTTCATGATACTGATTCTTCTTAACCATGAGCATAGAATGTTTTTCCATTTGTTTGTGTCCTCTCTTGTTTCCTTGAGCAGTGGTTTGTAGTTCTCCTTGAAGAGGTCCTTCACATCATTTGTTAGTTGTATTCTCAGGTATTTTATTCTCTTTGCAGCAATCGTGAATGGGAGTTGACTCACGTTTTGGCTGTTATTGGTGTATAGGGTGCTTGTAATTTTTGCACATTGATTTTGTATCCTGAGACTTTGCTGAAGTTGCTTATCAGTTTAAGGAGATTTCTGGGCTGAGACGATGGGGTCTTATAAATATACAATCATGTTGTCTGCAAATAGAGACAATTTGACTTCCTGTTTTCCTAAATGAATACCCTTTATTTCTTTTTCTTGTCTAATTGCTCTGGCTAGAACTTCCAATACTATGTTGAATAGAAATGGTGGGAGAGAGGGCATCCTTGTCTAGTGCCAGTTTTCAAAGAGAATGCTTCCAGTTTTTGGCCATTCAGTATGATATTGGCTGTGGGCTTGCGGTAAATAGCTTTTATTATTTTGAGATACATTCCACTGATAACTAGTTTATTGAGAGTTTTTAGCATAAAGGGCTGTTGAATTTTGTTGCAGGCTTTGTCTGCATCTATTGAGATAATCATGTGGTTTTTGTCTTTGGTTCTGTTTATGTGATGGATTATGTTTATAGATTTGTATATGTTGAACCAGCCTTGCATCCCCAGGTTGACGCCTACCTGATCATGATGGATAAGCTTTTTGATGTACTGTTGCATTCAGTTTGCCAGTATTTTATTGAAGATTTTTGCATCGATGTTCATCATGGATATTGGCCTGAAATTTTCTTTTTTAGTTGTGTCTCTGTCGGGTTTTGGCATCAGGACGATGTTGGTCTCATAAAATAAGTTAGGGAGGATTCCCTCTTTTTGTATTGTTTGGAATAGTTTCAGAAGGAATGGTACCAACTCCTCTTTGTATGTCTGGTAGAAATCGGCTGTGAACCCATCTGGTCCTGGACTTTTTTTGGTTGGTAGGCTATTAATTGCTGCCTCAACTTCAAACCTTGTTATTAGTCTATTCAGGGATTCAACTTCTTCCTGGTTTAGTCTTGGAAGGGTGTAAGTGTCCAGGAATTTATCCATTTCTTCTAGATTTACTGGTTTATGTGCATAAAGTTGTTTGTAGTAATCTCTGATGGAAGTTTATATTTCTGTGGAATTGGTGGTGATATCTCCTTTATCATTTTTTATTGCATCTATTCTCTTCTTCTCTTTTCTTTGTTATTGGTCTGGCTAGCGGTCTATTTTGTTGATCTTTTCAAAAAACCAGCTGCTGGATTCACTGATTCTTTGAAGGGTTTTTTGTGTCTCTATCTTTTTTAGTTCTGCTCTGATCTTAGCAATTTCTGGTCCTCTGCTAGCTTTTGAATTTGTTTGATCTTGCTTCTTTAGCTCTTTTAATCGTGACGTTAGGGTATTGATTTTAGATCTTTCCTCACTTCTCATGTGGGTATTTAGTACTATACATTTCCCTCTAGACACTGCTTTAAATATGTCCCAGACATTCTGGTACATTGTGTCTTTGTTCTCATTGGTTTTGAAGAACATCTTTATTTCTGCCTTCATTTCTTTATTTATCCAGTAGTCATTCAGGAGCATGTTGTTAAGTTTTCACGCAGTTGTGTGGTTTTGAGTGAGTTTCTTAATCCTGAGGTCTAATTTGATTGCACTGTGGTCTAAGACTGTTTGTTATGATTTCTGATGTTTTGCATTTGCTGAGGAGTAATTTACTTCCAATTATGTGGTCAATTTTAGACTAAGTCCGATGTGGTGCTGAGAAGAATGTATATTCTGTGGAATTGGGGTGGAGAGTTCTGTAGATGTCTACTGGTGTGCTTGGTCCAGATCTGAGTTCAAGTCCTGGAAATCAAGTCCTGTCTAATATTGACAGTGGAGTGTTAAAGTATCCCACTATTATTGTGTGGGAGTCTAAGTCTCTTTGTAGATCATTAAGAACTTGCTTTATGTATCTGGGTGCTGTTGTATTGGATGCATGTATGTTTAGGATAGTTAGCTCTTCTTGTTGCATTGATCCCTTTACCATTATGTAATGCCCTTGTCTCTTTTGTTCTTTGTTGGTTTAAAGTCCGTTTTATCATAGACTAGGATTGCAACCCCTGCTTTTTTTGCTCTCCATTTGCTTGGTAAATCTTCTTCCATCCCTTTATTTTGAGTCTATGTGTGTCTTTGCACATGAGATGGGTCTCCTGAATACAGCACACCAATGGGTCTTGACACTCTATCCAATTTGCCAGTCTGTATCTTTTGATTGGGGCATTTAGCCTGTTTACATTTAAGGTTAATATTGTTATGTGTGAATTTTATCCTGCCATTTTGATACTAGCTTGTTGTTTTGCCAATAAGTTGATGCAGTTTCTTCATTGGGTTGTTGGTCTTTACGATTTGGTACATTTTTGCAGTGGCTGGTACTGGTTGTTCCTTTCCATATTTAGTGCTTCCTTCAGGAGCTCTTGTAAGGCAGGTCTGGTGGTGATGAAATCTCTCAGCAGTTGCTTGTCCATAAAGGATTTTCTTTCTCCTTCACTCATGAAGCTTAGTTTGGCTAGATATGAAATTCTGGGTTGAAAGTTCTTTTCTTTAAGGGTATTGAATATTAGCCCCCATTCTCTTCTGGCTGTAGGGTTTCTACTGAGAGATCCACTGAGTCTGATGGGCTTCCTTTTGTGGGTAACCCGGCCTCTCTGGCTGCCCTTAGCATTTTTTCCTTCATTTCAACCCTGCTGAATCTGATGATTATGTGCCTTGGGGTTGCTCTTCTTGAGGAATATCTTTGTGGTATTCTCTGTATTTCCTGGATTTGAATGTTGGCCTGCCTTTCTAGGTTGGGGAAATTCTCCATAATAACAATTTTAACCCACAGACTAGTCACTTGAGAGAAACTTTCAAATAAGCTCAGAATCAGAGGCTTCCACAAAACATGGACATAATAACTGTCAAGGTCTGTCACATTTTGTTCCTCCTATGACTGTTTATGATATTCATATTACTGCAGATAGGCCAGAAATACTATGCTGCCTGATGTCCTTGTTTACATAGGAAACTAGTCCTGGTCTTTAATTTTCTTTTTTTTTGAGATGGAGTGTTCACTCTATCGCCCAGGCTGGAGTGCAGTGGTGCAATCTTGGTTCATTGCAACCTCCGCCTCTCAGATTCAAGTGATTCTTGCCTCGGCCTCCTGAACAGCTGGAATTATAGGCACCCGCCACCACACCCAGGTAATTTTTGTAGCTTTAGTAGACACGGGGTTTCACCATGTTGGCCAGGTTGGTCTCAAACTCCTGACCTCAGGTGATCCACCCACCTCGGCCTCCCCAAGTACTGGGATTACAGGCATAAGCCCTGCCTGGTCTTTAATTTTCTAGATGCTAGTATCAGAACTCAGAAGGGAAGAAGGGGAAATTAATGAATTGTAAGATCACCATTTAGGCAGGTGAGAAATTATAGCCCTATTTCCTTACAATGTTTTAGTCATAAATGTAGGATTAAAAACATTCTCTAAACATGGAACAGATGAAAAGCTATGTTGTGATTAATATCAGGGCAATTTACCTCTTCTGTAAATAAACTGGTAAATTACATTTATGCAGATATAATATGTTGGTTTTATCTAGTGTTAAAACCACGTCTGCATTTCATGGAACTGTGATTAGTTATGAAATTTCTTGGGATAAAAATACAATGTTTTACATTCTGTAGAAATCTATAAAGAATTGGTAATAATTGATCTCAAAGATCTCAGATAAAAAATGACACACCCTAAGGCATGAATACATTTAGCTAGTATATTTATTTTGGGACTACTTAAAGTTCTTTAAATATCTCCTCTAATTATAAAACATTAAATGTATTAGTATCATAGTTTATTCAGGATATGCTCAATTAGAAAATACATATTACCTAAGTAGAATAATACATTCTGAAATTTTTTAACATGAAAATAACCAAAGTTTCCACAAATTTAATTTGAATATATTCTCAGTTTTCACTTTTGTTAGAATTTCACTTCAAATACTTTAATTATTGAAATGATCAAGGTTAGATATTATTTAACTTACCTCATAAGAACTTGGAAGTTTTAGTTTTAAACTTAGAAATTTTTTAATAGTTCCAACAGTTACCCGTGTAGAACATCGAATGAATTTCTTCATTAAACCCTAAAGGAAATAAAGATTACTAGTTAAAATGTTCTATCTTGCTTTTGGTGAAACCATAGCTACCATTTCCACTATGATTTTGAATATTTTTCAAATATATTGCGAAACATTTTAATTTACAGTTTTTTAGTACTTGCAAGTAAAAATCTTCCTAATTCTTGGATATTTACATGACATTCTTTAAGAATGTATTATCATGTGTACTAGGAAAATCCTGGCAAATAGGCAATCTGCTTACCTCTAGATATTTTAGTAAAGAAAACACGAGTTTAAATTAAAAAGAAAAAAGCCAAAAGGTCACAAGAAGCATAAAAATATTTTATTATAAAATATAACTTCTGAGACATCAGGGACATTTTCTAAAACATGGTATCACAGCTTTTAAATAATTTTAGAAAGAGCAGCGATTTCAAATGGGACTCTGAGGAGCCAGAGGGTTCAACAGAGAGAGGCTGGTTAGGCCACAGCATGTCCAATTAGAAGTTGCATAGTGTGGACCTTGTGTTGGGGAGAATCACGTTGAGTCAGTGTCTGATAGGCTGTGCCAGTACTTTACTGGAAAAACAAACTTCTATGTGCCTTGATGTGTCTCATCTGTAAAATGTGCAGCACTACTAATTCACTCTTTAAGCCTGAATATCACTAAAATATAAAAACCAATCTGGAAGGTATACTCAAGCTGAAAATGAAGCAAAATGAGGTTGTAGTCATAATAAACATGAACCAATATGTGAAACAAAATTACATACCACAACCTCAAAAGTTACTGGAATACTAACACACAAAGCAACAAGAGAATCTCTTAAAGATATTACTCCTATTCATATGCATAGGAAATTAGGTCAGCATCTGGAACAACAACTTAGTGTTCTTAAATTCACTAAGTCAAAAGAAGAACTATTCAGTCAATGTTTATTTCCTAGCAAATGTTTTCCTAACAAAACATATTTCCTGACAAAGACCGACAGAAATAAATTAACAAATAATACTTGGTCACAACACAGATGATAAACTATCCATTAAAAGAAAACAGAAGTTAAAAGCCACATCTAAAGCAACACATACTCTACCCATTTCAGATGTGAAGACCAATATGCTAGACAGCATGAAACCAAAGGGATAAATGTACAAGTCTATCTTCTCTGTTATCTGTTCACACCTTCTCAAGAAGCCCAATGTTTCCCGTCCATTTTCTTTTTGCCCCAAATGCTTAAAAAGAATCAGCACATTTTTACAAGCCCCAGTTAAGTCAGAGAATATACGGGTGTAGGTCATGTTCCTCCCCATCTATTTATTTAAGCCTTTCTTTGCTTGTAGGGCATTTTGTATGTAGAGCAGTTGAAAACAGAACCTCAGAACTTAACATCTGCCGTGATGTTAAAGTGCTTTTCATGACCACCCTGTTATCTATGTATATGTAAAGTTAAGGAGGAGATCTTAAGTTTACAACTAAAAACTCAGTACTCAAAACAAAAACAAAAACAAAAACAATCCAAAATCTGAAATGCCCCCAAATCTGAAAATGACGGCTGACATGACACACACTCATTTCAGATTTGGGAGGTTCAACTGTAAGTATACACAATGCAAATATTCCAAAATCCAAAAAGATTCTGGTCCCAACCATTTTGGATAAGGAATCTGAAACCTGTACTGGAAGGTTTAATACGTATGTTTTTTCATTTGCCAAGAAATCAGGAAGAATCTCCAGAAATGATGTTGGTATATCTTTCAGAGATTAATAGTTAATAGTTTTTAAACTATTCACAAAGTTGTGCAACCATTACCATGATCTAATTTCAAAATATTTTCATCATCTCTCCAAGTAACCCCAAATTCATCAGGAGTCACTTCCCAACCTTCCAGGCCCTGACAACTGCTAATCTACTTTGTTTTTATCCTTGTCTGGACATTTCATATAAATGGAACCACATAATATGTGACCTTTTATGTTTCGCTTCTTTCACTTAACATAAAGTTTTCAAGGTTCATCCATGTTGTAGCATGTTTAGCATGTATCAGTCCTCTATTGAAGTTTATGACTGAACAGTATCACATTTTGTTTCATTTTGTTTTTCCATTCATCAGTTGACAGACATTTAGGTTGTTTTTACTTTGTGGCTATTATGAATAATGCTATTATGAATATACACATACAAGATTTTGTGTGAACATGTTTTCAATTCTTTTATACAGTAGTAGTCCCTCCTTAACTGCAATTCCATTTTCCTTGATTTCACTTACTCAGTCAATATTTCACTGTATAAAAATTCAAAATATAAAATTCTAAAAATAATTCCTAAGTTTTAAGGGGCATACAATTCTGAGTAGCATGGTAAAATCTTGCATCATCCTACTCCATCCTGCCTGGAGTGGAATCTTCCCTTTTTCCAGCATATTCATGCTGTATAGGCTACCTGTCCATTAGTCACTTAGCTATCTCAGTTATCAAATCAAAACACCAGTATATACAGGGTTATCTGGTACTATCTGTGGTTGCAGCATCCACTGGGGGTCTTGTAACATATGCCCCACAGATAAGGGGGAACTACTGTGTATGATCATATACTTAGAAGTGGAATCACCAGGTCAACTCTTTGAGAAACTGCTAAACTGTTTTCCACAGTAGCTGCACTTTCACCTTCCCACTAGGAATGTATGAGGGTTCAATTTGTCTACATTCTCTAACATTTATTATTTTCCTTAAAAAAATTCTGGCCATCCTAGTAGGTATGAAATGATATCTCATTGTGGTTTTGATTTGCAGAGCCCTAGACTAGTGATGTTTAGCAACATTTCCTGTGCTTACTGGTCATTTTTATAACTTCTTTAGAGGAATGTCTATTCAAATCTTTAGCCGTTTTTTTTCAAATTGGGCCATCTTTTTATTGATTTATAAGAGTTCTTCATATATCTGTATATTAAAGGCTTATCAGACATTATTTGCAAATATTTTTTCCCACTCTATAAGTTTTTTCACTTTCTTAAGTGTCCTTTGATATACAAGAGTTTTACAATTTAATGAAGTCCAATTTATCTGTTTTTTTTTTTTCTTTTGCTGCTTATGCTTTTGGTGTCATTTCTAAGAATCCACTGCTAAATCCCAAGGTCATGGGAATATCTTAATTTCTCCTTCCTCTTGGAAGGCTATAGATTTTTGATGAATATAGATTTACTGGTTGCCCATTGTCTTTGAGCACTCTGCATATATTATCCTATTGCCTTCTAGCCTCCACAGCTTTTGGTGAGAAACTGGCTACTAACCCTACTGGGGGTCCTTTGTGTGTGAGTCACCTTTATATTGTTGTTTTCAAGATTCTATCTTTGCCTTTCAATAATTTGATTATGATGTGCCTAGTATGAATTTCTTTGAATTTATCATACATGGAGTTTTTTAAGCTTCTCAGATGTTTAATATTTTTCATCAAATTCAGTTGTTTTTTGGGGGCCATTATTTCTTCAAATACACTTTCTGTCCTTTTTTCTCCATTTCCTCTCTTTCTGGAACTTCCATTATGGGTATGCTGGTAAGCTTGATGGTGTCTACAGGTCTCTAAGGACCTGCTCATTTTTCTTCACTCTATTTTCTTTCCGTTTCTCAGACTGAATAATCTCTATTCATTAAACTTCAATTTTATAGGTTCTTTTTCTTTGGCTCAAGTGTGCTGTGAGCCTCACCCATGAAATTTTCATTTCAGTTGCTATACAACTCCAGAATATTAAAAAAATATTTAATATCTTATATTTGGTGATATAATTCTTGTATTTTCATATAGGTGATAGGCCATGGTTTTAGTTCTTTGTACATATTTAAATAGATGATTTCAAATCTATGCCTAATAAGTGCAATGTCTGGGCTTCCTCAGGGACAGTTTCTATTGACTGCTTCTTTTCCTATGTATGGGTCATAAAATCAGCTCTCTGTAACTGAAGTCCTACATTTGTGAATTCAACCAACCACAGATCAAAAATATTTTTAAAAACAATACAGCAATAAAAATAATGCAGTTTAACAACTGTTTACATTGCACTATGTATTACAAGTAATCTACAGATGATTTAAAGTATATAGCAGGCTGTGCATAGGTTACATGCCAATACGACACCATTTTATATAAGGAACATGGGATACACACATTTTGTTATCCATGAAGGGTCCTGGAATTAATCCCCCCCATAATCTGATAGATCACTGTATTTGTTAGTATCTATCATATTTTAAATGATATAATGTTACAACTATTTTAAATGATATAATGTTAACAATGCTGGAAATCAGATTCCTGCCTGTTCTTGAGTCCTAAACTAATTCCATGAAGTCTGTATTCTTTACCATAGGTAGCCATGAAATTTTCTGCCCAGAGGTCAGCTAATGATTGAACAGATATTTCTTTACACATCTGGAGCCATTAAGTTGCTCAGTCTTTGCCAAGGATCTGGGTGTGTGTTTGGGGACATACCTCCAACATTCAACCAAAGTGTTGACAACTCTGCCTTAGTCTTCACTTCCTGCTTGTGCAGAGTGCCTCAAGGTCAGGCAGAGGTGAGAGCTTAGGGCCTTCTCAGGTCTTTCCCAAACATGCATACAACCCTGTGTATGTATGTGGCCCTCTAGATTTCAAGGAATATGTCAGAGATTTTTGAAGCTCCTAGGGACATACCACTTCACAGCTTTCCCTTTTAAGCTTTTTGGCTAGTCTCTTGTTTGGTCCAAATGTTATCTATGACTCAGGCAGCTGTAAAGTTAAAACATTTGTCTGTAATTGTTTTTGACAAATGCCCCTTTCCCCCACCCAAAGAGAAGGATTTTTCATGGAGGCAAGTTCCAAGTCAAATCAAATACTGACAAGCTTGTAAGTGGGGTCTTCTAGGAAACAACCAGACAGGTCAAATAATGACCATTCTTTGGCAATGAGGCTTTAAAAGAGCTCTACCTCTGTTCTTTCCCTTTGGTGCCTGAGAGGCTGCAATGGGAAAGCAGGCTGTTATTTTCAAGGCTACTGCAGAGTTTGAGTGTGGGGTGGAATTAAAGCAAGTTAAAATGCCACACAGCTCACCCTTTACACTAAGAGTTAGTAATCTTATTGATAAAGTGCTCTATAGGCACTTATAAGCCTTTGATTAATATTAGATCTCTAAAAAAGTTGATATCCAACATTTTTGCCAGTATTTTCATACTTATAAAGAAGTGAATTTTCAGAGATAGTCTACTCTTTTTATTGACATCCCACTCGACTTTGACTTCTGTATTACAAAAGCAGTAGGTATTCTGTATAAACTATGCATGCAACTACTGCCCCACCACATTTGAGAATCACACCCTACTGCAGAGGAATGAGATGGCAGAGAAGGCTAAAAGCAATACAGACATTGTGTCTCTGTCACTAAGGGATTTAGAATCTAGTACTAAGGACAATGCACACATAAAATAAGATAGTGCCTAGAACTCTTAGGTGCATCCTTAATAGATAACAAACCAATCCCTAATTGAGGGATAAATAAAAGTACTACAGAATTTCAGAGAAGGGATTCACTAGGTTGGGAAAAGCATCACAAAGAACAAAAATCTCTGGGTCTTGACAGAAGCATAGGATGGTGGAAGAGGAAAGAACAAAGGAAGGGTTGTTCAAAGTTTTAGAGGTCTTAAATATTCATAATACAAGCTTTTATGTATTCTAGACACAGATCTTTTATCAGATAATATAGTTTCCAACACACACACACACACACACATACACACACACACACACACACACACACACGCAGGCACACATGGGTGGGGGAGGGGGGTGGAGAGAGAAAGAGAATGAACACATACATAAAGGAATAATCACTTGTTTTGAGAGGAGAATTTACTAATGGGTTTGATGGGAGATAAACTTATTAAGAGAGGTGCTTGTTAGTGAAGGGCACTGAATGCTAATATAAGGAGTTATGACTTAATTGCACAGGCCAAAAGGTGGCAAACTTTTGGCCTATACAATGGCCATGTCCTCAGGCCAAATCTGGCTTGCCATTAATTTCTATGAATAATGTTTTATTGAAACACAACCATGCCCACTCATTTACTGTGCTGCTTTAGTGCTATAATGAATAAGTTGAGTAAACTGCAACAGAGACCATATGGCCTACAGAGCCTAAAATACTTACTTGGTCATGGCCCTCACCCTGAGTCTTACATACACTCAGGCAAACGGCCCTAGCCCTGGATAACAGAAGAAAAATTAGGCGTACAGAAAACACTTAATAACTACTTAAAAAAATCTAGATATAAGGGTGAGCAGCACCGAACTGGGGGGAATTTTGCAGGACTTAGTAACTGGTTGAAAGAAAAGAGTAACAGGTCAAAGATGATGCCAAGCTTTTGAACTTATCTGACTGACCAAAAGACAATAGTCGTAACTGAAACGGCATGTTTAAAGTTAGATGGAAGTATAATGAATTTGCCTTTAGACAAGTCAAGTTTCTGGTGTTAGTGAAATTCTCAACTGGTCTATTTAAAAATACTTAGAGATATAATACTTCAGCTTGAGAAAGATGGCAGAGTTGGAAACTAGGACTTAAAAGTTCTTTGTATAAAGAAGAGAAGAACAGACACAAGGCCCTACTTGAAGGTGGGATGGTAGGAGGAGAGACAGCCTTCAAGCAATTTAAAAGTTCAGAGGCATTTTACAACCTCCAATTTTACTTCAAAACGAATTGATTAAATTATTCACAAAATACATTAGCCCTGACATGAAAATCTTGTTGAGTTGCAAATAAAAATAGAGAAATAAAGGATGAAATTAGAAGATAATTAATAAAAGGGCTAGAATTAATGGTGACATAAAATTCTCTAAGTTTGTCACCATGCTTAAAAAACAGAAACTATGCATATGAACTCCCAACAAAGGTATAAAAGGAGGTGGAGAAAGAGAGGTGTGATTCTGTGCATTAGCCACTAGATGGTGGCATTGACCCAGGACGGTTCAGTTGTGGGAATTGCAACAATTTGTAAGCATAGGATTGTCAAAGAATGACATTTTATTTAATTATGTTAATTAAAACTTTGAAAGGAAACATTTTGAAGCATTAGAAAATTTGTCAACAAATTACCAAGGGTTTACTATAAACTGATCATAAAAATACCACAGTCTTGTTCACTCACCTTTACTACATTGTCCCCCGATTGTCCATTATTTCGTAAACAATCTAGACAGATAGCAATTTGTGGGTCACTTCTGTGATAATCTTGATTTTCATCACCTTCTTCATCTACTTTCGGTTTGTCAGCTTTTGAAGTAACATCTGCATAATTTAAACAAAATTAACAGCTATGAATCAAAATTGATTTTAAAGTTAAGCAATAATAATACACTGATTATCAAAAGAAAAATCAACTTAAAAAAATTTCCTAACAGCTTTTGAAGAAGAATGTAGTATCTTTAAAACGTTCCAACCAACTCAACAATGGAAATTCTTTTTTTTTTTTTTTTTTTTTTTTGAAAGGGGGTTTTTCTTTTTTTTTCCCGAGGGGGGGGCAAAATGGCGCGCTCTCGGCTCCCCGCAACCTCCGCCTCCTGGGTTCAGGCAATTCTCCTGCCTCAGCCTCCTGAGTAGCTGGGATTACAGGCACGCGCCACCATGCCCAGCTAATTTTTTGTAGTTTTAGTAGAGACGGGGTTTCACCACGTTGACCAGGATGGTCTTGATCTCTTGACCTCGTGATCCACCCGCCTCGGCCTCCCAAAGTGCTGGGATTACAGGCTTGAGCCACCGCGCCCGGCCTTGGAAATTCTTTTTTTAATTGGAGACTTATTAACTTAGTTTAAGATTTCTATGCTCACTGGGACATCCAAATGAAAGATTCAAGACTAGCTGTATTTAGCCAAAAAAATGATTGCAATTAGTGATTAGACTACGTTAGAGAATAAACAGGATATAAAAAAATACTTCCAAATTATTTATATGTATATATATGAATTATACTCAAGTTTATATACAGAAGTATATATTCAAATTAAAACCAAACACTTTAAATTATAAAACTAAGTTCTCAAAATTTCAAATTACTAGATATAAAATCAGCTAGTGAAAAAAAATGAGTATAATGAATTAGCTTTGTAACACGTATACAGCTATTAATGTATGTTACAACTCAAAGAAATCTGAATGGCCTACTTTGTATTATATACAAATGTATTTCACCTATTACCTGTACCCTATAAATATTGCAGCTATATTTATCATGCATTGGTTGAGTAGCTTTAACATTATGTTGAATACACATCATACAAGGCCTGAGGGAACAATACTGAACCTGCAGCTATCATCCTTACTCTCACAGTGGTCAGGATATGGGATGAAATAAAGGTAAATAAAAAAGAGAAAAACAAAAAAGAAACCAGACAAATATAGGATGGGAGAAGTAAAATGGACTATGCAGGCATATGTAAAAGAGAGAGTAAACCCAAACTTTGGGAGTGAAGCAGAGGTTCAGGGACAATTTCCAGATGAAATACCTTTAAGCTAAAACCTGAAAAAATTAGCCAGCCAAACATTACATTGTAGAAAAACTTCCCTGCAAAGTGACTGGCTAAATCCCCTTGGATACCTATAGTAAAAGCATTACAGGTGTACCATAAAGCAGGGAGGTGGGGTATTTTTCTACATGTTTTCTTCTGCTTATTTATAGAGAATGCACATACACAGGAGTTGCCTTCTATGAACCAAACTCCCAGCTCCAACAAAAAATCCAAATTCTCCACCCAAGCTAAAGACCAAATACCATAAATACTTTAAAAAGGGAGAAACAATAGGAAAAGGGAGATAAAATTCACAAAGTAGGCTACAGCCCTTCACAGGTCAATCTGTGATATGTAGAATAATAGAGTAAACCTGCCACATAATTTCTGAGGACAATCTCCCAGGCTCCTGTCCTCTTGAAAAGATTGTCAAAAACTGGAATATTTAATTAGCCTTATCTGTATTTTTATTACAGCACTACTACAATTGCTTATCGTTGTCTAATTGCAGTGTATATTTGGGTAAAAAAAGGCCTAGTTAAGTCATTTTTTTGGTCAGGCTTAGCTTCTTTGCCTTTTTTTGTTGTTGTTGTTATAGATTAAAAATAGTCTCTTGCTACCTTACTCTAATCATCAAAACTATTCTCGAACTTCCCCTTCTCTAAGAAAACGACTTTGCACAGTTAAGTTGAACTAATAAAATGATAATCTCCATTTTACAGATTAAGAGAGAGATGGCATTTTCTCATCTACCTTCGTCATGTATAATTGGCAATCCTGTGATCTTACGGGAAAACCAAGATTGGGAGGCTGAACTCACAAGTGGCCCCATAAGAACACACACATATTCTTGAATAACTTTAAATGGTATTTAGGACATCTTAAATTAAATCTCATATTAAAAAAACAATGGGAATGATACTACTTTCTTATTTCATATATCCCTTTGTGTGGGTTTTATACATATATATGTATGCTAAAAGCCTTTTATCTGCTCAGTAATGTTTGCCCCTTTGCTGCAATTATTAAAAATTACTAATTGCTGAGTCTCTTGGAACCTAGAGGAGAAATCTGGACATGCAGCATAGGTGATGGGGAAAATTCCCATAAGCATCCAGAAATACTTTCTAAATTTCCATGACATATAGGTTTGTATCACCTGAGCTCTACTTATAAAAACTTCATTCCAGAATATTAGAGCATTGTAAAATCTCCTGATCTGGCTTTCAGCCACATCTCAGTTCCTTCTCCTATAGAGACAAACATACAAAAGAAATAAAACACAAAGCTCTTCACTGTTTAGTTGCAAGCTGTGGCTATTTCTTACTTCAGCTTCCTTTAGCTCCCTAGAAATTACTACGATAAACATCTAGCCAATTTTCTCTTTTATCTCCCTTTTCTCTTCCCAAAGTCCAGTTTCCTCTGTTTCCAATTATCTTCTACTAAAGTGACTTCAGATTTACATTCATTTATATAAAATCTCCTACAGAGAAAAAGGTTCATAATGTAAATAAAAGGGAGCAGAAATTTAATACAGGAAAAATGTGAGCCTGAAGAGAGCTATTAGTTCACCTAAGCTATGAAAAACTGACCAATTTAAGAGATGCTTTCAGAAACAGACATAAGAAAAAGTCACCTTGTCCATTTTCTTGAGGCTTATTTTTCTTCCAAAATTCAGATTCACGCTCAAGTTCTTCTAAATTTAAATGAAAGAGAGTATAAAAAGAAAAGTCATGAAATTTGTAATAGAAATGTTGATTTCATAAAACACAAAAGTCTGCAAGAACCCAAAGAGCCACTTACGTTCTCGCAGTCCAGGGACCAGCTTAAATATAATTTCCTCTAATGTATTGTCCAACCTTCGAAAGGGGAGAGAAAGAATATACTAACAATGAAGATACCAAAATCTGACACGTAAATAGTCTGAAATGTATATCTTATATGTATTACAAAATATAGAACATATACAATTTTAGCACATCTACTATACCACACTCTTCTGTCCAGGGAACACACCTATTTCCAGCCTTCCCCAGTAGTAGACTGATTACAAAAATGGTCCCAGTCCCCAGCTCTCTCTATATCCACACTCTTGAGCATGACTTTGAAATTCCTCCCTTGACTAAGGAGGGGAGTCTATTTCCCTGCCTTGGAAATATGGGCTGGCCTTAAAACTTGAGGCCAGCAGAATGTGGCACAAGTGACTGTGCTTGGTTCTAAGCCTAGGCCTCAACAGGCATCACATGCTTTTGTTTCTATTTCTCTCTCTTTCATAGAATCCTGATAGTATGAGAACAAGGCTGGAGGATGAGAGACCATGTAGAAGAGACCAAGCTGCCCAGCTGAAGCCATTTTAGACTAGTCCACAAACAGCCCATCCCCCAAAATCAGCACAGCAGATTACCCAATGCACACAGCAAACTGCATTAGCATGAGTGAGCCCAGCCAAGACCAGAAGAACCACCCAGCTTACCCAGGGAACTAGGAGGAATAATAAATGCTTGCTTTTTCAAGCATCAGTTTAGGAGTTGCTGTTATGCAGCAACAGCTGATACCCCCATTCTCAAAATTTCTACCACAGCTCTGGCTCTTTCCCATAAAGGAAATAATCTCCATTCCACTCTTCTGAGAAATGTAGACCACTTTATCATTCTACCTTCTGAAATGAAAACTTCAAATATTTATCTTGACATTTTTCTTATTTTCTTTCCTGCTATATAATTCACCTTTTTCATGGCTTTTTGTCTTTAATCCCATTCTCTTGCCCCCACAACACCCTCTTCCTACCCCATCTCCTTCATCCTGCTTAACGGCATTACTCTTCTACAAGACTACAAACACACAGAGGTTTCTTGTATCAAAAAAAAAGACCCAAAACCTTTATTAATGCATTGTATTTTCAAACTATTATTCTGTTTCTCAATCTTTTCTTCTAACTGGAAAAAAATATGAAAGTAAAACCTACATTATTTCTGTACCCTACTCTGTTTTCCTTCTTTTACTCTACTGAACTCTGCAAATCATCCATAACTTCCATACTGAACAGGTTTAAAAGTTTTAGAATTAAAATTTAAACTTAAAAATTCTTGTTTAAGTTTACATTTCTTCTATATTTCTCTGCAGCAGTTTGACAGTGTTGTCTGACACTGCCTGCCTCCCTGAAAATCTCCTTTGTTTTCATTTTTTAAATTTCCAAGTCTGTTCTTTCTTTGTTACTAAGTATTTTTCTGTTTCCCAGCTACTTTTAAATCTGATATTCTCCCTTGCTTTGTACTCTGCACTCTGATCTTTTCAAAGTTCTGTCTTCCTTGGGGATTTCATCTGCTTTGGTGTCTTCAAAACTAACATATAGGCAGAGATCCATCCATGTGTCTATCTACATGCTTTTATGTAGCATCTCTCTGCTGATTTCAAGTTCCATATTTCCAAAGAATGCTAAACATTTCAAATACCTCCTTTTATTCATCTATGTCAAGATTGTCTCATCTATCCTTCTCCAATAAAATACTAAGTACCTCACCCACTGTCTCACATTTTTAAAATTAAATTTTTAAGTAATACCATAATTCTCCCAAGTTGGCTCAAAATATGAGAAGGATCTTAACTTCTCTCTTTCCCTTCATTTACACATTTACTCACCAAACCACATCTGTCCCATCTATTCCTCCGTCATTTCTTCCGTTCCTTCAATTACCATCCTACTTTGAACAGAGCAGAGACAAGCTCACAATGAATCTTCCTAAAGTACTAATCTGATTGTGTTAATTACCTCTCAAGAACTAATTTTTCCCTACTACCTGGCTTCATGTATTTACATAACTTGAGTCCAACCTATACCATAACTGGTACTATTCACTCACTGTCTCTCTTCTCCAGCCAACTGGCTTATTCAATTATCCCAAGAATTCCTTGTCTTTTTCAATTCATTTTTTCTCCCTCGTTTTTTACATCCTGGCTCAAATACTCTTTATACTCTCCGATCAAACCAATGCTATCTTATTCTTCAAGACGAAGTTACTTGTAAAGTTTTCCCAGGCTATTTAGTAGAAGGAGTGCATAAAAAATAGCACTTCTCACTATGTACAAACAGATCAGGAATCAACTTAGTTTTATTTCTGTTTCCTCTGAAACATTACTTACCACTTTGATGCCCTTTTCTGTCCTCTCAACCCAACTTAGGATTAATCTGTTCTACGGTCAGTCATTAAATCACTTCCTTACATGTACCCTTGTCTCTATCTTACTTGCTCAAAATTATTTGGTACAACTTGGGTTAAATACAACTTTCCTTCAACTCTGCACTGGTACCCATGGCTGCATAAAAACACAACCACACCACTTCAAATTCCAAACTACAACCCAAATATGCCTTTAAGTTTTCCAGGAATCATACTACACTCCCAAGTGTATTGATTCTCTCACTCTCCTTGACAACACGCTTTTTTCCCTCCCCAACCCTCCAAATCCCTTTTCTCCATCCTTAATTTTGGCTAATAAACACTTTCCTCTAGTGAAATATGTCAAAGCAAGAAAAAACAAACTTCCATAGGCCCTGGCCACCATACTTACCTATAGCATCTGCATCATGTACTCTCTGTCTGCCTGCCTGTTGCTACAACTTTTTTTGTCAGTGCTCCTATTGAAAACCAGTGTCTCCTCTTATGCTGTTAAATTCCATTCCCTACTCTCCTATATTATTAACTTTCTGCTTTCTACTGGATCATTCCCTTCAAATATGGCATTATTTTTCCCTTATCAAAACAAAATAAAGAAACTTCTTGGCTGCACTTGACAGTAACCCACCACTGCCCCCAATTTCTTTGCTCCCATTTGTAGCAAAACTCCTTGAAAGAGCTGTCTATACTCACTGTTGCTAATTCCTCTCTTAAAACAATCCAATTAGGTTTTTTGTCTCACAGCTTCTTTAGAGTTGAGAGGAGCACCTGCAAGTGCTCTTTTCAAAGTTGATAACCTCCATGTTGCTTAATCTAATAATCATTCTCAGTCTTCACCTTGTTTGTACCCATAAACAACAAATGACACAGATGGATCACTCCGTCTTCTTTGACATACATACTGTGTTCACTTGACTTCTAGGGCACTACACATTCCTGGATTTTCCTCCACCTCACTGGTTGCACCTTCTCAGTTTCTTCTGCTGGCTCCTCCTGTCTCTGAACACTTAATGCTGGAGTTCTCCAGGGCTCTGTCCTTGGTCCTTTACTCATTCCTCTCTGTACTTACTCCCTGAAGTGATCACATCCTGCCTCACAACTTGAAAAATCTTCTATATGCTAAAGACTACCAAATGTTTATCTCTAGCCTAGACCTCTCCCTTTGAGTTCCAGACCCATATATATATATATATACACTTACCAACTTTCTCTCTTCTCTGAAATGAATAACTCAACATGTCCACAATCAAAGTCCTGATCTACCCCTTCCATGCTCTATTATTAATCTTCCCAACTCAGTTAATGGCAACTCCGTTCTTCCAGTTGCTCAGGTCAGAAATCTTAAAGTCATGCTCAGATCAGAAATCTTAAAGTCATGTTCAACTCTTCTTTATCCTATATCCATTCCATCAGCAAACCTTGCTGAATCTACTTTAGAAATATATTCAGAATATGAGCATTTCTTGTCCCCTCTTCAGCTACTACCTCTCACCAGGGTCAGTGCAATTACTTTCTAACTGTTCTCCCTGCTTCTACCCTTGCCTTGCTATATGCAAGGGTATTCTCAATACAGTCATCAAAATGTTCATATCGGATCAATCCTCCAACCAAAATCCTGCATAGGCTCCCCATTTCATTTAGAGTAAAAGATAAAATGTTTATAGTGGCCTACATGGCCCTTCATGATCTGGAATCTCATGATCTCTCTGCCCTTGTTACCCAGTATTCTGTCTCTCACTCATTGTTTCCCAGTATTCTGTCTCTCACTCATTGTTCCCCACACACCCAGGTCTCCTTGCTGGTTGTCCAACAAGGCATATATACACTTCTGACTTAGGCGCTTTGCACTGGCTGCTCCCTTTACCTGGAATAGGCATGCCTTCCCAGACCTGTCCATGGTTAACCTCTCATAGTCTCCAAGTCTTTGCTTAAATCTCACCTTCCCATTGAAGCCGATCCTCACCATCTTATTTAAAACTGCAATCTGCTGCTCCCTTGACACTCCTGACCTCCTCACCCCACAACACTTCTCCCTTTCTTCCCTTTGTAATTTTCACTTTCTAACATACCATATAAGTTACTTATTATATGGTTTATTGAATGTCTGTCACTACAAAAATATTAAATCTACAAGGGCAAAGATCCTTACCTATTTTGTCTGCGAATGGACCTCAATCACCTAGAATAATGTCTGGACATAGCAGGCATCCAGTAAATATTTGCTGAATGAATGATTCCCCTCATGGAGGGGCATCTTCCTCCAACTTCCTTCTACTGTCTATATCAGTGATGTCCAATAGAAATATAATGTGAGTCAAATATGTAATTTTAAATTTTTAGTAGGCACATTAACATCAGTTACTTTACACTTTTTATGTAAAACTAACTTTGTTTTGTTATATATGAAAATATATTTAATAATAATTTAGTAATTTTTATTTATTGAAGAATAAAGTTATCTTTAGTGGGAAAATATTTACACTGCTTCAGGTTTTAATTGAAATTAAATTAGAAATTCCATTCCTCAGTTGCACTAGCAACATTGAAAGTGCTTAACAACCACATGTGGCTAATTGCTACCATACTGGACAGTACAAATACAGACTGCTTGTTTCCCAGGCCTGCTGCACAACTGTCAGATCCCTTCACCTCCCTGCTATGTTAGATTCCTTTATCCTTTCTTGATTTATACTCAAGCTTCCCAAAAGCTTACTGAGAAAAAGTACATAGAAGGGAAATTTTTTGCTACATGTGTCACAGGCAATTTAGGCACCTAACGAAGGAGCCTAAATTCCCCTTATTGCTTGCTAACAAAATCCAATTATGTTCTGGCTGCAATGTTGGCACCCCCTAGGATAATTCATGATTTGTTAAAGCATTTCAAAACCCACCACACCACTTTACCTAGTGAGTGTCATGTGACCTAGTTTGGGCTAAAAAGAAGGAGCCTGCTGTAGGAAACTTTAGTAAAGATTGTCCCCTCCCTACTATCTCCCTACTCCTTAGTTCCCTGGTATACTTAGGCCTCTGAGGTCTGTTCAACTGTCACCACCACCAGTTTGCTTTCTAGTTTTCAGTTTCTGCTGACATCTATTCTACCATTTCTTCTTATCCTTTAAAAAGTATTTACTGAGAACCTAGGTGCCGAAGACACAGAGTATCTTGTTCTTATTATCTCTGAGTTTATGTCTTTAAAATAATTCCTTTGCAGTAATTTCAGTTGAATTTTAGGAGGAAAACAATTTCTATAAAGGATATCTTTAGATAATTTGAGAAAACTAGAATATGGAAGTTAGGTTAAAGTATTATACCAATGCAATCATACTGTGGTTATGTGATACAATATCCTTATTCTTAGGAAATATACACTGAAATATTTAAGAGTAAGGGGCCATGATACATGTAGCTTACCCTCAAATAGTTCAGAAAAAATAAAGCATGCAGTACACACATGCTCATGAGCAAATGATATAAAATGTTAATAAGAGGCTAATCTGAGTGAACAGAATGCAAGTAGTTCTTGTACTACTTTTATTTGGGGGATTATTTTTAAGTTTGAAATTATTTCCAAATAAAAAGTTAAAAATATATGTTATACTTTAGCCAACAGAACAGATTTGATTAAACAGTGTCTGGATTCCTTCAGGTATCTAATGGCCAGAACCAAAAGAATAAGATAAAATGCCTTATGATGTGGTCCTTTAAGAACAGAGAAGGTAATTATTATTAACTGTTTTTTATTAAGTTTTTTATTCTAATAAAAAATAAATTATTTTAGTTTTTATTAACAGTTGGTAATAATTTTTCATTACAACTGGATATTAACAGTTTCCTGTTTTAAAATTAAGAAAAAAAATTATTTGAGAGAAAATGTTTGCTTTATTCTCCGAATTACTGAAGTCAGTTTCCTTATTGCAGCACTACTGATGTTTTAGGCTGGATAAATTTTGCTGTGTGGGGCCTATCCTGTGCATTGTAGGATGCTTAGTAGCATCCCTAGTCCCTACCTACGAGATGCCAGGAACACCCATCCAGATCCGACAACCAAAAATGTCTCCAGATGTTGCTAAATGTTTCCTGGGGCAAAATCACCCCTGGTTGAGAGGTACTGATATAAATCCAACTAGAAGAAGGCTTGCTCAGAATTACAGACCAGAGTTGACCAGTGGTTCCCAAATGTTGGCATATATTAGCATCGCCTAGAGAGCTTGCTAAACTAAGTGAGCTCCAATCCCCAAGTGTCTGATTTAGCAGCTCTGATGTGTGGTCTGAGAACTGTCATTTCTAACATGATACTAATGGTTTGGGGATCACACTTTGAAAACCACAGGGCTAGACATTTACCTGTAGACAAATCATCCCAAACAGGCATTAAAATTGAAAAACAAAAGTCTGAAATGTAAGACTTGCAAATCCAGATTTATAGAATGACGGCAAACACCACACAAATAAGAGAGTTATGAAAGTTTCCAGAGACTATCTAGCTCTATCTTTAGATGTGTAGCTTCTTAAAGATCACACAAGTGATCTGCATTAGAGCTATAGCGGATGGGAAACAATGGGATGGAAATGGGTCTAGTGGTGAGGACACATGGCCTGTAGCTGGAAAGTGACATTTGAGGTATTCTGTGAAGCTTTAGGTTAGGTCATATCACTTCTCCAGATTTCAATAAAGGGGTTTGGATTAGAATCTCATAGACTACTTCCAGCTTTAAAAATATATGATTATACTGCGTAAGTTGAGGGGTAAAGTAAATGGTAGCCTTAAAAAAACTTTTAAGTTTTACATAAATTTTCATATACTATTTTTTGAGTTAAGTGGTAAATTTAAAAATCAGTAGTCCTAATATTAGTTTTTCTCTGAGTTCTCCATCTTTCTACTACTGTGTAGCTCAACATAATACAGACTTAAAATACTGAAAATACCTGTAACCTAAAGTCACTCTTACAGCCAAAGAGAAAGTTATACTTTTAATTTGGAAATGTATTTCTTAAATATTTAAGATGTAAACCTTATTTTTAATACTTAATAAAATACTTTAAAATAAAAATCATAAGACCTATATATTAACTGAGTCAAGACATGAAATACTATGACATATAATAAAAATTAAGTGCTCATTCAACTTATTTAAATTAGATAAACTGTAAAATATATATCCTTACCTCAACATTTCTAATGGATTTGTCTCATGAACTTGGTTGCCACACCTTGGGCAATCATTGCTATCTTCAAAGTGCTGAACAATACAAGTCTTACAGACTAAGAAGAAAGAAAACGTTAGGTTAAAATGCATCATATGAACTTTCATTTAATGTTTAAGTATAATTAGAAACAAAACTTAAAATACCTACTACAAGTAGAATATCATTATTTAATTAAACTTCAAAAACCTTATAATTGTAACACTGTAATAAAACCCAAATGAAATAAAAGTCTACTGCCACAAATAAAAAGCATACGCTATTTTGCTTATTGTTTTTCTTAAATACGTTCACACACCAAATACTACTCATCATCATATTAGGTTAAAAATGTTGGTGCATTTACATAAAATAAGTTTTTCTCATTTAAAGAAGTAGGACAGAAAAAGGTAAAAAGTTAAGTCTGCATTTATTCCCTTTGATAAACATTTATTTAAATGCAACATAAATAACTCTTAACATAACTTGAGAGTTTTCAACCTGTTTGTATTACTTTTATTGGCAGGGTGCTCCAGGGACAAACTGGGAGTTACAATGGACTTTCTGCCCTTGGCAGGGTGTAATGAGTTTCCACTCACAGGTACTGTAATTCCATGGAGCACAAAGTATCAACAATGGTATCAAGCTGGGACAAAGGCATGAGAGGTAAATTGGAAGAATGACTGAAAAAGTGACAGGGATAAACAAAATTTCAAATAAAGATTCTAAACAGAGACAATGGAAATGTGACTTGTGGGTCTGGAGCCACAAGACTATACAGCCCACATTTCCTACAAACACTACTAATCTCTCTGGCTTTAAATCTCTCATCTTTCACTTAAGTGCTTCTACTACTTATTATGCCAATCGTTTTGCCCCAATACCTTAGACATATTTACAGCACCTGAAATATAAAATATTAGTTCAATTACTCATCTTAATACCCCTCCTCCATTCTATTACCCTGTATAACCTGAAGTTTTCACATGGTATAGATTGGCTCTAATACTCCCCTTTCACAGCTGCATTCCAAGCTACTTCTTTTCCACTCCTCATGATCTACACTATCTAAAGGTTTACCTAAATGTTTGGTCAAAAGTAAACACTAGGATTCTTACACATGAGATTAGGTTTGTTAGTGATAAGTAATATTTTTACCTGCCCCCCGCCCCCGCCTCCAAAAAAATAAAATAAATAAGGTAGAGATAGGGTGCTGGGAGCTGGCAGCTATTTTAAATAACGTGATCAGGATAGGATCCTTTAGCTACCCGTAAGTTGGTGACATTTGAGCAGTTTTTTGTTGGATGAATGTATCTGAATCCTATACTCTCTACCTCTTTTTACCATTAAACACAGCTCCTAGGATAACACTGCCTTCATGACAATTCTCACAAAATGTGGGTAAGAGATGGTATCAGAAAATCTTAAAATAAAAAAAGCTTAGATATAAAAAGTTTAGCCCCAGGGCTATTATGTACAATTGAATACTTCCCCTTCTTCCCAAATTTCATGTCCCCAGAAGGGTTTCTAAATGTCTTCTCAAGTCAAAATAATCTTTGGGAAGAGAGGATTGCCTTGTTATGCCAAGTTGAAGTAGCAGACAGACAAGCTGAATTCCTTCAGAAGACTGCTGGTATTTGCTCTTTTCTCAGGGATTCTAGATAAGTCTCTGAAATTTGGGAAAGAGGCAAAAACAAAAAACAAACAAAACCCAGATAAGAAACAAGAGTGGAGGGATTTTAAAAGCCTGATCCTGACATGGAGCTCTGATCCCTGTGGTTCAAAAGGTTTACTGTACTCAATGGTTTGGCAATTCCTGGTTGTCTACTGGGCTTGACCAAATAGAGCGGCATGTGACATGTCCAGAACAAGTCCTCACCTGGATCAGCCAAAAGGCTAAGGGGAAAATCCTATCCTCTCAGAAGCTCTACTAAGCTAGGCTGCTCATGAAAGAGTTGCAGGGCTCAAGCATCCAAAGATGCATACATTAAGAGTAAAGTTATGCTAATTGCTTATGGTCAAAGCAGCACTAGTACCCAAGAACACTGGTAGCGAAGAGTAATCTATATTCTAGATCTGGACTGCCCAATACAGTAGCCACTAGCCACATGTGGCCGCTAAGCATTGGAAATGTGGCTAGTTTAAAGTGAGATGTAATGTTAAGTATAAAATATACACTAGATTTCAGATATGACATGAAAAGGTAATCTCAATAATTTTTATATTAATTACATGTTGAAATGGCAATATTTTAGATATATTGGGTTAAATATATTATTTAAATTAATTTCAATTGTTTCTTTTTTAATGTGGCTACTAGAAAATTTTAAATTATACACATGGCTCACATTTTATCTCTACTGAAGGATACTATTCTAGATGGAGACAGAACCCCTCCTATCAAGAGTGGAATTTATTTTCACACCAACAACTGAGATACAGTATCTTATTCCACTTTTGCTAGTGAAAAAGAGGTTTCAATAGGCCCAGTCACCTGCCTACTCTGGTGAATGGCACCACAAAGGCCTAAATCCAGGTTTTCTGATGTGAATTGTTTGTTTGTCTGAGACGGAATATCACTCTGTTGCCCAGGCTGGAGTACAGTGGTGCGATCTCGGCTCACTGCAACCTCTATCTTCTGGGTTCAAGTGATTCTCCTGCCTCAGCCTCTCTGGTAGCTGGGATTACAGGTGCCTACCACCACGCCAGGCTAATTATTTGTATTTTCAGTAGAGATGGGGTTTTGCTATGTTGGCCAGACTAGTCTCAAACTCCCGGCCTCAAGTGATCTGCCTGCCTTGGCCTCCCAAATTGCTGGGATTACAGGCATGAGTCACCGTGCCCAGCCCTGATGTGAATTTTTTAAAACATTTTTTCAGCGGCTAATACCAAAAACTGTTTTTCCTGACAATTTTTTTCAGATAGTTTTAGTAAAAGACAACTTTAAGATGCTGAAGAATGTAATATTTTGACGTGCTTTCTTTTTCATTTGGATGATTTGGTGGTAGCTATCATTATCGTTATCGTAGTTAACAATGGGTTTATGTACCAGCCCTTATCCTAAATATGCACATGTATTCAACATATTATGTCCATGTATGCCCTAATCAACATATATTTAATTCAGTACAATTTAGTAATCTAATCCTCACTCCATCTCTATTAATTAGATAGCATTATTAAGCCTCTTATACATAAAAAATTGAACAGAGAATTTGAGCAAGTTGTCTAAAATTATGAAGTCAGTAAGTGATTAAAACCAGTATTTGAATCCATTTTTTTAACCAATGTATGTGTATGTTATACATTTACTTCACACTTTATTTACACAATCTACAATATATAGAAAAAGAATGTCTTATACCTTATTTTAGGAGCCTTAAATATGTCTAGTTGTACAATTACATCTCCTTTTAAACTGTATATAGCCCTTTTCAGTAGCTTATTTGTTCCTTTAAAAAAATCTCTAGAAGATATATCGCCCAAATGGCTTTTAAAAACTGTTAAATAAAGCACAACCTTATATAAATTAGAACCTGAGGAAATCCAGGCTAGAAGCTAGAAGCTGGAAAAAGTAAAGTGAGTATTTGGTTTCCCTTAGATGCTTAAACGACTTCTCAATACTATAAAACTCACCCCTAATTCTTAGTTTATAATTTGAAGTCCATACTAGCAGTACAGCACATTTTAAAAGTATCTTAAAGATTTAATGCAGACTCTCTAACTGCTCAACCGCTGTAGTGGTTAACAAAATTGGTCCAAAAATGATGTTTAAAAAGGTCCTAGTCTAAGGTTAAGACTATGTATGCAGATGAAGTCAAGTCTTCATTCTCAACAGCCACTTCACAGACAGATTCTATAGCCATAATAAACACCTGGGTCAGGGAGTTAAGCTTACCAAAGATGTCCTCAGGTGGCAAAACAAGTAACCACTTAGCTAACATTTACTGAGCACTAACCAAATATCAGGCTTGGGCTCAGGACTTTGTATGAATTATAGTATGGACAGTTACTATCCTCCTTGGCAAGTGAGGAATGTAGTGATGGAGAGCCTGAGTAGGCTGCTTGCATCTGCCCAACTGTGCAGCAAAGATGGTATCCATCCCCAGGCTGTGCAGCTCCAGGCCTAAAATCCAAACCACTATGCAATGTATCTTAGAATTAATAATAACATTTGGTCCCTGGCATCAAAATAAAAAATTCATATCATATCTACATATTTATTATTTATTATTTCTTTGTTTGAGACAGGGTCTAACTCTGGTTTCCCAGGCTGGAGTGCAGTGGCACAATCATGGTTCACTGCAGCCTCAGACTCCTGGGCTCAAGTGATCCTCCTGCCTCAGCCTCCTGAGTAGTCAGGACTATAGGCATGGGCCACTATATTAGTCCGTTTTCATGCTGCTGATAAAGACATACTTGAGACTGGGCAATTTACAAAAGAAAGGGGTTTACTGGACTTAACAGGAGCAAGTCACATCTTACATGGATGGCGGCAGGCAAAAGGAAAGTTTATGCAGGGGAATTCCTCTTTTTTTTGGGGGGGGGATGGAGTCTTGCTCTATCACCCAGGCTAGATTGCAGTGGCACAGTCTTGCCTCACTACAACCTCCACCTCCCATGTTCAAGCGATTCTCCTACCTCAGCCTCCTGAGTACCTGGGACTACAGGCATGCGCTACCAACTCCTGGCTAATTTTTGTATTTTTAGTAGAGATGGGTTTCACCATATTGGCTAGGTTGGTCTCGAACTCCTGATCTTGTGATCTGCCTGCCTTGGCCTCCCAAAGTGCTGAGATTACAGGTGTGAGCCACTGCACCCACCCGGAAACTCCTCTTTTTAAAACCACCATATCTTGTAAGACTTATTCACCATTGCAAGAACAGCATGAGAAAGACCTGTCCCATGATTCAATTACCTCCCACTGGATTCCTCCCAGCATGTGGGAATTGTGGGAGTTACAATTCAATTTGAGATTTGGGTGGGGTCACAGCCAAGCTATATCGGCCACCATGCCCAGCTAATTTTTAAAATTTTTTGTAGAGACGGGGTCTCACCATGTTGCCCAGGCTGGTCTCA